CGATTGTATGTGCATTTGTTTAGTTTTGTGATAAGAAATTACCTCGCAATTGGTTTTTATCTCATCACGATTTGGTGTCATTCTCTGAAAAACAAAACATTCACCGGTCTCGCCCATGTGTGGATTGTTGGACGTAAATCCCAGTTTGTTATGGTCATAGTGGCACAGACAGTGCATGTTTCATGATTTGTAGAACATCACTTTTCACGTGGGCTTTGTACACATGGTTTTATGTTGATTAGAAAATCTCGGGGTCATACCGTGAATTCACTGTGTTCCAAATTTTAAGGATCCGTCTTGTAGTAAATATCTCTATTGATTTTGGTGAAACATCCACTTTAAAGGACTTGTCTTAGGTTGCGATATGTAATTAAAAGGCTAGCAATACTTAATTTGTTTTTCTTCAAAAGGGCACCCATGCTAATATGATTTATTCTATAAGAGAGGATAGCACAGAGTTGCTTCCTATTTATTTCCAAGACTTCCATGAAGTGACAAAGTCATCACACACTTTGGTAGTGCTATTGTAGTTGATAATTTCTTGCTTTCAAAGGGAATTTAGCTGAAAATATTCTAACTTCTTCGGTGCATTGTGTTCATGTGAGGAGCAAATTGAGGTGAACTGATGTCATATATGTCAAATTTAAATTGTAGGAAATAGACAAGAACTATGGTGTGAGTAAAACAAGGCTTTGTAGATAGTGAATTAACTGATGATCGCAGCAGTTGAAGTATACAGTACAGTAAGTTGTACAGTATTCTCTGACTTGCTGTGTACCTTTGTTTATTTTATTTTCAGCCTAAAGTTACTAGGAAGGTGAAGAAGGTGGCCCCTGCCCCTTATACCACTTCCAAACCTGCCCCTAAAAAGGTTGTCAACCCTCTCATTGAAAAGAGACCCAGGAATTTTGGCATTGGTAAGTTGGGATGTTAAATATTTGATAGTGTGAAATGCCTGGTCATACATACCCAAATGCTGGCTGGTTAACTAATTGAGTAGGTTGCTGGGCCGCTGAGCTGAGGCCGCAGGCTAAAATGCTGCCTGGTCGACTAAGGTTGTTGAAAAAAATTGTTCAGGTCATTTTGGTTTCAAGACTTGTCTGGGTGCATGTGATTGTATCATTTTTTAATAGAGAGATTAGGAATCATGTTTACCGCAAACAGCAAACATCAAATCGTACCACATGACCAAGTTTTCCCTCATTCTACCAGCAGAGCCTTTCTTTTTGCCAGCTCAGTTTTGGGACACTTGAAAATGATTCGGGAATTGAGTAACATCTTTGTTGAGCATGTGCCACATGTTGCTAGGAAACAGTTGCAAACCCAGACCTAATAGCCATGAGCTTTGTTAGTGTAGGGGTAATGTTTGGATGCATGTTTGTGTGTGTGTGTGTGTGTGAGAGAGAGAGAGAGAGAGAGTGAGTTTGAGTAATAGTGAGAGTGTGTGGTGTATGTATGTATGTGTGTATGTTCGCTCTTGGTGCAGGCTGTCTTCAGGGCAGATTGTGCCATAAGAGAGCTGTATTATGCAATAAATTATGCAAATTGTGCAATTTCGTCAGGGTCATCTAGGCTTTTAAAACTGGGTTTCAAAGTTTTGGTTAACAGATAAGTTGATCTTAAAAGAATGAAATAACGTTGGCAATCAAAGGTTATGGATGTAAGGTTTGGGTTAGTGGTAAATCACCTAAAGATAACTTTTAAGCTCTGAAAAATCTTTACTGAAGTTGACGGTATTTTTTATGAATTATGTGATTTTCGTCAAGTTGTGTGAAATCGCTCCATCCCATAAAAACTAAAGCCCTGTTTGTGCTGGTTATGTTTGAAATTTTTTTTTAAAGTCTTGTGAACGGAGCATGTGAAAAAGATTCAGTTTTTTATTCCTTGAGACAAAATAACTCCTAAACATTATTTATTTCCTCCTCGCATTTAGGTGGTGATATTCAGCCAAAACGTGACTTGAGCAGATTTGTCAAATGGCCAAAGTACATCAGATTGCAAAGGCAGAAGACCATTCTTTACCAACGTTTGAAAGTTCCACCTTCAATTAACCAGTTTACACAGACACTGGACAAGCAGACTGGTATGTTAGCGAGTTGCCAAATGGAACTCTTTTTTTCAGAAATCCTCATTGTCATTTGCTGATAATTCACTTAAGGATATTTGTCACATTAATTTGTTTTCTACAAAAAGTGAGTTACAAAGCGGCACACTGTAGTAGTCATGGGCATACAGTCAATTCTCTCTTAATGGACACCTCTCCAAGATGGACACCTAGTGGTGGTCCCTGTTGTTTTGCAGTCATTTTACTGTAACTATACTCCCTATAAGATGGACACCTCTCTAAGACGTACAACAGACACTTTTGAAACTGTCAACGGACACTTTTGAAGTGCTTTATGTAATAAAAAATACCTCAAAACGGAAATGAAGGTGCTCTAAATGGCACTAATTTGCAGTTAAAGGGAAGTAAATTACATAACCAAATACAGTACACATCTCCTTGTTCATGTATGTGAACCAGACATTTGGCAGCTCGTATCTTGTGGACTTATAAATGCAAATTAAAAATGAATCCATCCGTACGTCATTTTTGACTGTATATGTTAACTTGAAATCTCAAGTTGTCAACCACCATTTGTGGTAGGCTCAACTTTAACTCCTTTGCCTTTGCCTTTGTAAATGACTATCTGCTGGAGTGGGTTGTTTCACTTACATTCTATTTTGAACCTAAAAATGATATTTTCTAGTATTATTGAAATGTTTGACAGCATTAGTTTCGACATTTCTACTGCAAAACTGTGCTCTAAGGAAAATTTAAGGGAGTCCAGTGCTCTTAACCTGTGAAATCTAGGGTGTCCAGATTATGATTTCTATGAAAAGTCTAAGATTTTCTAGTTGCCCGGGAGCAAAAGTTTAGCACCACAGAGCACCAGGCACTGCAAGGGCACAGCCTTGTACTGAAGGTTTTAGTAAACCTTTCACCACACAATGACTTTTCACCCATGATGTTTGTTATTGTCTTTTAGCCACTCAGCTTTTTAAACTTATGCACAAATACCGTCCAGAGACAAAGGCTGAGAAAAAAGCACGTCTCACTGCTAAAGCTGAAAAGAAAGCTGAGGGAAAGGAAGAACCCGCTGGCAAGAAGCCAGTTGTGATTAAGTATGGTCTTAACCATGTCACTGCTCTTGTGGAAAACAAGAAAGCACAACTGGTCGTCATTGCTCATGATGTTGACCCAATTGAGGTACGGTCAAAAAAGTGTATTCACTAAAGTTGGTTAGTAGTTAAAACATCTTGTGTTGTATAAAGCAGTGAACGAGGTGACCCTCAATTTTTTGCCCTGGGTTAACAGTAAATATATTGATTCTATTTTGCAGCTTGTTGTATGGCTTCCAGCTCTGTGCAGAAAGATGGGTGTTCCATACTGCATTGTGAAGGGAAAAGCAAGGTTAGTGATGATGCTGGTTGTGGTCTGTTCTAGTATACTTTTGGATTTAAGTATCTGTTACAGTGTTAGTTTTCTGTTCAGACATCAACTGGGGCCTAGGCTTCTTGTTGTTTTCTGTTAGTGTGATGTCTGGGAGAGAATGCAGCACACCATTTCAGGAGGGAAATACCGTATTTATTCGACTATAAGCCGAGCGATTTTTACACAAATTAAAACTGAAGTGAATAAAAATTTGGGCTCTAGAGGGGGTCTCGGCTTATAGCCGAAAGTTTTTGAAAAAAAAATTTTTCCGGCGCATGGGAACTCTACTAAATCGAGATGTATTTACGTATAAGCCGAGCTAAGGTAAAGAAACACAATATGCAATCGTTGGTTATTAACTTCTAAGAATGTGGTGGCTCCTAAAGGAGCCGTTTGTTAAATTTAAAATGTGTTTTCACAGAAAAGATGAAGATTCTTGATAGGGAATAACCGTGACGCTGACTGGATGTGATTACAAATCGATGGAACTTGACTGTTTGCTGCTCCAAATCTTCTGGGAGACGCTGAGCGAGTGTTGTTTTGGTGCGAAGGCTGACGGAATGGCGGCGCTTCCATTTCTGGTACCAGCCGAGGGACGCTTTAAACTCAGGATCCTGGCTGAATTCCTTTGCCTTTAGACGTACAATCAATCCGCTAACAGCTATTCCTATGCAACACGAATGTTACCAAACGATCGAAGGGTTGAAAATTTGACACGTCTTGAATTTGTTTTGACATTTGTGAAAACTGGCCAATGAGAATCTTTCATACACAATGTTGTCACATGATACTACGATAGTTTTGAGAGTCACCCTGAGTCACACATTCGGCTCATATTCACTCTGCAATCAGGTGACTGATTTATTTCGTGGTCTTGTTTCTGTTGTAGTAAAATACAAAATCAATGCCCGACAAAAACTTACCTTGGCTTCTCTGCTGTGTAAACCATTCCAGTATTCTTTGATCGAGCTCCGGATACTTCGGCGTGAAGCATCCCATCGTCTTCTGTTTCGATGACAATATAATCTCGCCGTTAAAAAGGTTCGCTTGATCTTTCCTCCAGCGACGGACCATGGACGCACTGATGCCATATTCTGTGGCGATTTCAGAGTTATTTTCAACAGCTTCTGCTTCAGCGACTATTTTAAGTTTAAGAGCGACGTTGTATGACGTGCGACGAGCCTTGGCCTGATGACAACTTGACTTGAAATAAACGATTGCGAACACGAGATTGTTTGATAGACGCTACTGATGTCTAGGTACTGGTGATGCCGCTTAACAACGCAGTTACTTTTAAATTCATTTTTTGGATCACATTAATTCATCTGAGTTATGATTCATTGCTAGTTACGGGTAATATTTATTAATTCGCGTGTGTTTTCTAAGAGGGAAGCTTTTTGCATAATAAATCACCATTGCATCTCTTGTACACGCGCGTGTGTGTTATCGTCTAAGCCTCATTTATGACAATCAATGTGATTTTTTTCCGAAAATGTTACGTTTTCCCGTAATTAACAATTCAGTCTTGTAATAATGAATGGGTCTCGGCTTATAGCCGGGTGTTTTCGATTTATTTTTGGTTCTCGTTATGCCGAGTCTACACGTTCAAAGTTTGGGGTCTCGGCTTATAGCCGAGATCGGCTTATAGTCGAATAAATACGGTACACATTTAATTTACCATACAACTTTTGTATCTTACTTAAGTTTTCATAGCAAGCAGAGTGCTTGGTTACTTGTAATGGTGCATTTTGTAATCCTATTATTGGCACTGCAAAACACTTGTAACACTTAAGCACTTAGGAAAGAAAAAAGTTCATGTGCTTGGGAAATGCCAGGATTGTATCTGTTGTTTCTGGGTTGGAATCATAAATTCTAAAGCACTTTCCAGTTGGTGGTGACTTCCCAGAAGAATCTGGATCAAGTTTTGTTAAACTCGACCTGGATTACAAGTTACAATCAGCATCTGGCATTTATCCCACTCAGTCTATTGATTTTAGCGTCAGATGTTTGCAGTCATGTCCAGCAGTGTGTTTTATACAAATTGCTCCATTTAAGTTGCTTAAACTAGGCTAGGAAGGATGTGCTTTTATACTTGGCGAGTTGTTGAGGGTCAGTTCTCATCTAACTTATTATTTGAATCCCTAGATTGGGTAAGGTGGTTCACAAGAAGACGGCCACAGCACTTTGTTTCACAGCTGTGCGCCCAGAGGACAAGAATAACTTTGCCAACCTCTGTGAAGCTGTTAAAACAAACTACAATGAGAGATTTGATGAGATCCGAAAACATTGGGGAGGAGGAATCATGGGACAGAAATCACAGGCAGCCCAGCTTAAGCTTGAAAAGGCCAAGATCAAGGAGATGAAAGTCTAACTTGTACAAACTCCTTCCAGAATGTAATAAAATTTGCGCTGTTAGATCCTTACAAATCTTCTGTGTTTTTTTTTTACTTTTGAAAAAATTCTGTGAGTGGAATTGCAATCAGTTGTGTCCTCCTTGGGCACTCCAGTTAAACAAAACGCCAGCCAGCAGTCAAAGCAGTGATTAAAACAGGTACCTTTGGATTACAAGTCCGGCTTCCTTACTGCTGTCTTGTCATGCCCCAGCAGTTCCTCTTGTGTTAGCCTATCATGCAAGCACTTTTAGGGGGGTTGTATTCCTTTCTCAACAAATTAATGCTAGGAGGAAATTCAACCCAGTGAAACTGCTGACTATTAACACGTTTAGATTTTGACCTCCCCTCACTTTTTTTAAATGAACAATGTTGCATAAGATGAACACTTTTGCACACTTGTCATCCTCGGAGACCCAGGGACAGTAAGTGTTCGTGGTGAAAGTTTACTGTAAGATCGAGATGAGCTCGTCTTGATCTCAATAAAGTTGAAAACGCTTAACCACGAAAATGAAACCCCGCAAAATACTGTCTCGCAAAAATCGCGAAATTAAGTACCATTAAGGTAGGTTATTTCCAAGTTCCAAAAACTCTTGCTTTAAAACGAGGTTAAGTGCAAAGCCTTTCTTGCGTAAAATACTTTTAAAAATTTGTATGAGCATAAAGAAAAATCCGGGAAAAATCATTTTCATGTCAATGGATTCGCACTTAGCCTCACTTTAAAACAGAGGCTTGAGGCATATTTCTTTGCTTATTCACTCACCCGTATCCTGGTTGCCAGAGAAATAGTCTGCTACACAGCCGTTTTTAGAGTCGTCACGCAACCCTCCTCCCCAGGAGGATTTTTTTTAGACAAGTTTCCCTTGCAGAAATTTTTTTTGGGAATTGTCACCCCACCTGTGATTATTTCCCGGGGGGAGCACTCCCATACATTACCTATACGGGTATGTGCCGCCCAACGGGGTCGTGATTTTGAAGCTCTGATTTAGAACGCGGTATCCATTTCAGAGGCGTTTTCTAGAACGGGGTATAAAAAATTGTGGATCACGGCTTTATCTTCTGCTTAAAATTGTTGCTGATTATGAAGAAGCATTTATTTGATGTATAAGTAGAACAAGGAAAGAAATATCTCTTAAAAAAACAGGACTTTTTCAATTTACAAACTTTCTAGAACGGAGTATAAGCAACTGGCCCATTTCTAGAACGGGGTATCAGTTTTAGGGCAAATTCTAGAACGGGGTATAAAAAATTGGCTCATTTCTATAACGGGGTATCAATTTTAGGGGAAATTTTTTTTAGAACGGGGTGCCAATTTAGAGTCCCGGGCGGCACATACCCACCCAAAAAATATCCAAGTGCCCCCCCCGGGGATTATTTCCAATGGCCCACCTTTGAGGAGTTACCTCTTTCGTTTCTTCATACCCGTAAAGAATTCAAATAACGTTGCATTTACGAGACTTCTAAAACAGATAGGCTTACTCCTAGAGAATGTCTAAAATAGGTACTGGTACTTCCTCTAAAAAAGTCCTGGCGGTTGTTCAAACGTCGTATAGCGCTATCTAGGCTGCGAACAGAGTCTCCTTCGATCTTCCTAGATAAGTCGGGAAGCCCGACTTATCTAGGAAAGATCGAAACGACTCTGCTAGCGGGGTAAGCGCTATCCAACGGATAGCGTTCACTGGATAGAGAGTGGATAGCTTTATTCGCCTTTCGAACAAATGAACCCTGTATTTTTATGTCCACTCCTGAGGAATTCGCAAATTTTCTGGTCATCAGACATACACCCACCCAGCTGGATACCCATTGGTCAGCGGGATGTATTGCGGGCTTCCTTTGAGTCAAAATGGCGGCCCTCTTGAAAGTTTTTGCATCCTATGTACGTGAAAATAGTGTTAAAAGAAGAGGTAGTACGGCGGGCTTTAGAGAGATGAATTATTGTCCAGAAACTGTTCTTGTACACTCTGCATTCTTACTAGCCGAAACTGTTCAAAAATTGGACGAGATAGAGAAAGACAAGTGCAGTCAAGTGGTAAAAATCGTGACTGGGACAGTCAGGGAAATTACAAGAGAAGTGCTTCACGAGAATACTCGCAAGTTACGTCAAATCGAAGTCAGAGAAATCGAGTTTAAGATTCACTCCTGGGTGTTTTATTCGTTACTGAAAAGATCTGACTGTCATGATCTTGGCGAGTCACTTGAGGAAGAAGATTATTTTGACAGCTTTCCTCCCTTGCCGCAATTTGGGATTAACTTTTATCTGGAACTGGTGCAAGAGTTAGAGTGGGGTGAACTGCTGGTGGAGGTACGTGAAGATTCTATCAAAGATCTCTTATGTTCCCAACATTTCTCAGGTTCTGACACGGCAAGATGTTATGAGAAAATATTATTTGATTCGAGTAGTTGTACATCATGTCCATTATGTATAGGGAAAGAAAAAACTGCACAAAAGGGGCCCAGCATTTGATTCTATTGTGCCAGGCATTAGATAGTGGGGAGCAAGTTAAATCGTACGCGGCCAGCGCAAAAAGAAACACGAGGGGAAAAAAACAAGGGGAGACTGGGGCGGAAGCTGGCGCCCTAATTTTTTGCCCGCTCCCCACCATCCGAACACCTGGAACAGGCTAATTGTGCCCTAGAGTCTCGTTCTAGCCAGTTATTTCAATTTTTGTCATGTTAATTAACTTATTAAAACCCACCAAAGGAAATCTCTGGATCTTAGAAGTAGCTGATGCAAAGAAGCCTTTAATCATCCTTAAATCCAACTGCTTCCAAACTTTGCTTAAAAAGATGTAGTTTTTTCAAGTAAAGAAGTAGCTAGATTCTCAGATGGCTCCCAGGATGCTTGCTCAAACTTCCTTCTCTCCACCAATCAGAACCCATATTAAACTTTCTTGGAAATCCTTCCAATTTACATGACAAAATGCTACATCAGTATGTTTATCCCTTTATTTTTTTTCTCAGTGTCTTTTTGCAGTTGGTTTAACCAATATTACAGCCCTTCTGAAGGATATCATCAAGTGCCTCATTCAAGAGCCGAGATACAAAGATCTTTCTCTGTTTCTTTGTCTTTTTAACTCTTTGCTTATACCTGGAGAGCAAAGTTTGTTTCCAGAAAAGGAAAAAATGGAAATTGGTGACACACACAGGATACAGTCATGGTCATTATTATTGTTACAAGGTGTGACAAGCCTAACAAAGGATTATGCTTGCTGGCCAGAAGCGCAGATGGATATTATCAAAGGTGTTATTGACTTAATGTTTACAGCTCTTATTGATTTCAACTTAAGAGAACTCTACAATCAAAGATGGTCACAGGATAATGTTTCCATCACACCTGTTAGTATGGAACTAGATCATGACAATCATGAAAAGATTAATACCCATGATATAAACAACTGTGATGTTTCTTATGAAGCTACAGCTTGTATTGATATTTTATGTCAAGTTATTGTAAAGGATTGGAGAGAAACATTTCACTGGATTAGCAGCGAGAAAACCAATGGAAGTAGTGGCGAGTTGGACTGGAGCTCCTGGAATACTTTGCATAAATGGCTTATAAAACTTTATGCTGTAGTTTGCTGGCTAGCTTCTCATTCCCATAACAGCAGAATTGTGGAGGCAGCTTTGACATTACAGCCTGGTCTTACACAATACATAATGAAATACTGTACAAACAAAGAGCTTCTTTGGATTGATGGTTTTAAAAAGGGTGAGCTTATGGCTTTGAGCAAATGTCACATTGAAGAAGAGTTCAATCCACCAACTGGTGAGTATCAGTTATAATGGGAATTTTTATTCCTCTTGCAACAAACCATTTTACCTACAGCATGCAAAACTTGAACAGGTGAATTTTTTTGGGAAATTCAAATTACAGGTGTCTGATCAAAAAGGGTTTTGGGGCTAGTTGAAATGACTTTTGGGCTAGTACATGCTAGCTACAGCTGGCCCGAATGGTAGGCTGTAAAACTGACTTTCTTTGCACCTTGTACCTGGTAGGCAAAAATCATTCTATTTCTTTGAATTTTGAAGAACTGAAAATGCCTGCTTGCCAAAAATCAGCATTTGTCTTCCATTTTATAAAATGATCCATTTATTTCTAGTTTTAAAAGGATTTGTTTGAAGTTATCAGAGCCTTGAGGTACTTCTAATATCTTAACATCTATTAGCACTAACCCAATGAGATTTGGCAAGGAGGCATTTTTGATATTCTCCCTTTTGAATATTTCATAGTTTCACATATTTAATTTTTGTAATTATGTCATCACCTCCTTTCTTCCTTGTTTGTTTTGAGCCAAATTTTGTTCAATGGATTAGGATTTTTGATAGGAACTTGTCAAATTTTTTTTGTTCAATGGATTTTTTTATTTCAGATCACGATTTTTCATTTCATATCTCATTATTTGAAGGTAGGTTGATAAAATACTTGTCAAACCTGGTGGTCGTTTTCGCTTTTACATGACACCGGAATAGCGTTTTGGACAACTGAACTATGCCGGTGTGACTTTTTTTTGTGGTGGTCAAAAACAAATATAGAGCCATTAGAGGGAACTGGAGTGAACTCGCTCCAGGGCAAAAGTCGCCCCTGTGTCATGTAAACTCCCCCTAAGACTGGGTGACCCTCCTTCACCCTTATTTTCATCCCTGCATTGGAAATGCTGGTATGTCAAATTCAAAGATGATAAAAATATGAAAGGTTTCCTAGTGAATGGGGAAGAAATCAAAGAGACCCTTTTTGCCGACGATATAACCTGCTTCTTGAGAGATACCAATTCAAACTTTCAACTTCTGACATCGTTCCAAAATTTTTCCACATTCTCAGGCCTTTATGTAAATGATGAAAAGACAGAGATTTTTGCTATTGGTCTACAAAGTCTTCAAGATGTTTTCACTCACAAAATACGTAGCATGATCAAAATATTTGGCGATAATTTTGATTTATGATACAGTCCCAGCTGTGTTGAAGGCCAACTGTGACTTCATCTTTAAATCAATCCAGGGAACTTTAAATAGTTGGAAAGGAAGGTGCCTTACCCTGATAGGTAAAACTCAGATTACAAAGTCTTTTGTTATTCTGAAATTTCTATTTCTGTTTTTGAAAAGCCTCTCTCTAGTTGACCGTTTTAAGTTAATAGGTCTTATTGTTTATCTAACCCAGAGTTTCAAGAGGCAAAATGCAACAATAAATAATACTGACACCAAAGTTACTACAGAAAGCAGTGAAAAAAGAGCAAAAACTATTGTTATTGATTTGATTTTACACCTCATGAAGTCCTTGAAGTATGGGAATTGTGTCCTTAAAAGTCCTTGAATTCTTGTTGTGCAAAAAAGTGTATAAGCACAGTATCTTAAAACTACGTTTCAGTGTCTGACATTTATTTATCTTCTTGTCTCAGAATCTGTGGATTTGTTGCTGTTTCAACCAGAGACTTCTGAGGAACAGTTTCAATTCTACTTGCATAGAGTTAATAGAAGATTAGAAGGCTATAAAGAGTGTTTTGATTGGTTACTAAATGGAGAGGAATTTCACGGGGAATCTGAGTGGTTGGAATGCATGAGGAATAACGCAGTTCAATTGAGTGACATCGAGCATGCATTTAAAATGATTGATATCATCTGTATGCAGAGGCAGCTTCTCTCCTGTGATGAAGGGTCAACTGATAATACTTACAGAGGTGTGAGAGAGGTAAAACTTCCTTAAAGAACTATGTCACAAGGATATTGCTGTTTTAGATCAATCCTGTGCTCAAGTCATTACTCAGTGCCTTGACCTTATACACAAAATGATCCTGTCAAGTTAGGAAAAAGATATTGTACAAATTTTATCATGGAGCACCAACCATAATAATTTTTTAGGTGATTTTTACAACCATAGCATTAAAACTTGTAAAAGTTGGCCCAGCTTTTCCAAGTTCAATCAATGTCCATCCTTGGTATCTGTATCAAGACACAAAAGATAACAGATTCAATGCCTAAATATAATCTTAATTAACAAAAATGGACCATTAAATTTGTTTTAGAACTCAATTAATGGCAAGGTACGATTTAGCTTTTTAAAAAGGTAGCATTAATAGGGTTATAAAGCCCCTTACAAGAATACAGTCAACATCTCTTTGATATGACCACGTCCCTAAAATGAACACCTAGAGTCAGTCTTTATTGTTATTCAATCACTTTGAAGTTTCTTTGTCAGACAGATTATAATAAATTGAAGAGGTCTGTTAGACAAACTCTTTAGTGGTGGTCCTGATAGTTAAAAGATGGTTCTAGTAATATAACAATAAATTATGGTCAACATCTCAGAAAAATTTGTGGGTTTATACACATAGTTTTCACAATCAGTTAATCAGTCTGTCATCCATTTTCTCCTTTTTAATGATTTGAAACCTGGGAATGAAAACAAGGCAAAACCAGACAAAAATCAAAATAATTTTGTAAGAGAAAATAATCTCCCTTTCTGCAAATAATAATATTTTGTTGCTGTCTGCTAACCCTTTGAAAAGTTTAAGAAAATTACCTATGATCAATTTATAAAAAGTTTACATAAACCCTATTTTAAGAGGATTTTTATTTTTACTTCAGATTTTGCTGAGTTTGTATTCCACCTTTCCCAGTGCCACTCAAGAGCAGATCATAGAATATGCTCTCCTCATGGGTCATACGTTAGAAAATCCTGAAGAGAACTCACTTTTCTTCCATCCTTACTTTGTTGAACAAGAGAGGGCTGATTTGCAGCAGGAACTTGTTATGATCTTCAATAAAATCATTGATATTAGCAGTGAAGATGAGCTGCAGTCAGCTGCTAAAGACATGGCTAGAGTGGCACTAATATCACCAAATATTGCTCTAACAAAGGCAGTGTATGAAGGAGTGAAGAGTGCAGGACATTCAAAGTCTATCTGTTCTGTAAGTGTGTGTACAGTCAAGTCTCCACTATTGGCCAACTCTCCACAATGGCCACTTTTTTGGCAGACAGTCCACACTCGGACTCTTGTTTAAAGCTCTCTACTACAGTGGCCGTCGTGGAGAGGTTCAACTGTATATGAGACATAACGTATTTAGCCTTGTTTTACATGCAGTTAACCCTTGAAGTCCCAATGGTAACCAACATCAATTTTCTCCTAACCGTATCCATCGATTGTCAAGAGATTAGGTTATGAGAATTAATAAATTGATCACCTAAGAGAAAATGCCGTGCTCTTTTACCCAATTCTCTCAACGTATTCTTTAAGAAAATGTATAGAGATCAGTTTGGAGAATTTGTATGTGGATATTGGGGCTTGAAGGGTTAAAGAACTGAATCAAATATTCAGTCAGTATTGATCATGGTGTGGTCAACAAAATCATGATCACCTTACTGCATGTTTTGACATTAACTTGAAATTATTGTCTCCCTGCCAAAACAAAATTTATAAGGGACTGGTCATTGTTTATGTAGAGGGTGTGGGGAGGGAAAAAAGAAGGGGGTTAAGGCTATTTCAGATTGGCTACAGTGGGGGGGGTAAACTTTTTTTATGAAGAAGTTTAATAATTACTGTGTAGAGCATATAAGTGGAGATATGAGGTGGGGGGGTCATCACATAAGTATTGACTAAATAAGGGGGGTCACTTGCTATTTACATGGTCTGTAGAGGGGGGCCTTACAGAAATTTTGATTTTGCCAACATATTTTTCCCTTCCCACCTTCTACATCAACAATGACTGGTCCCTAAGGACTTCTCTGTCATTGTCTACTATAGGTGTTGCAGAAGTTTCATGCTTTGTGTAGGTTACGATGCAGTGAATCATTATCCTCAAGGACATTACTCTGCAAAACAGTCAACTCAGTAATAATGAGCGTGTCATCAAGGCAACAAGAGAACAATCTACTAAACATGCTGACCTTGTTTTTATCTGTAAGTACCATATTTTCCCTTTTAACTTTTTCACTTCTAACAGTGGTCAACATAAAGAAATTGAATGGGTGCTTGAAATAAGGCCAAGTGACTCTTGATTCAACACCTGATTGTCCTTTGAAAAAATTTGTAAAATATTTTGTAAAATCTTAATAAGTAAATAGCCCCTGGCCATTGTTCTGCCATTTTCATTATTTTAAGGACCTATTTTGGGAGTGTTTTTTTGAAGACTGAGTGACGACTAGGGAGAAAGAGGGGGCTAAATAGAGGAAGGTAATAGATAAATAACTGTAAATAGAGTTATTATTCTTAACTCTTTGTAACCTCTTCTGTTTGGTGACTTGTTAGCCTTCTGTACTTAAAGCTTTCAAAAGTTTTCAGTGCCTAAAACAAATTGCTGGCTGCTTAATAAAATTAATAGTTACATGTTCAGTACTTTTCAAATAATGGATTTGTGTACATGGAGAATAACATTTCAATTCCTTCTGTGACTTTCTTTAAAAATGAGAACGGTGCTTTTCCTGAATAAAAGAATGTTATTCTTATGAACAACACCTTTCTTAGACCACATTCCTTTCATAATAAAATTTATTTCTATAACATATCTTGGACTAAGCTTCTTAAAATGAAAATAATTTTTGCATAACAACTTGTTCTACAGTCAGGTCCCTCTGAGCCCTCTCCACTTCTCAGTGTCCAGGAGTTCATAGAAGCTGCTGTGCTTCCTTTTCTCAACAACACAAGCATGCAAGGCAACATACGTACAGTACTTTCACTTAAGCTTCTCAACATGGCTATGGCAACAGTATCTGTTGCAGTCGATGATCAATTTCTCAAGAAACATTTGGTGCCTATCATCTTTTGCCTGTGTGAGCTGTTAAATGAATCCATTCTATTCTGGGATGGCTTGGCGCCTGTAAATTCTCTCTCAGAGAGGGAAGAACTCAAAGAACTTGTGCTCAAGGCTCTTGATATGGAGGTCAAGTTGTGTTGTGACATGGTGCAGACGAATTCTTCTTTTTCCAGGGCTATTGAGTGGCTGTTTAGAAGGTTGAAGAGTGGCTTTGGTAAATACAAGCCAAATTATATTATTATTTTCTTAAATGAATTAAAATTTATAAGGTACTGTAAACAGTGCCTCTTAAGCTGAAAATATTTATGTTATTCATGAATATTTAAGAAAAGTGGATCCAGAGTTTGCAGAGCTAAGAGAAGATTCTTTTCAGCCTCTGCACTTCTAGTTACTTGTCACCAATCTGGCACCATCCCTGAGATCTTGGAGCATGCCACTATAATCCACAAAGAAAACTAGGGGAAACAAAGATAGAATACCATAATCTTTAAGTAAATAACAGTAAAAATGGTGATTTTCAAAACTTGACTCTTTGCCTTAATTATATCTGAAGACTGCCAGTGGTGGATCTGGAGCTTGAGTTATGGGCACTGCCTGAGCGAAATGTAGAATCTCTCAGGGCATCACTTTTGGTCTAAAAATTACGAGAGATCGCTCCCCTAGGTTTGCCATTTAATGGATTCCTTCAAGTTTTTTTGGCTTGCACCAGCCTTGCCCAAGATTTGCTTTCTTATGTAGTCAAAGTTACTTATGAAATAATATTTTTGAGTTACAAGGCATCACCCCGAAAACACCTATATTTCTCAGGGTTTGTTAATGATTCACAAGTTATATGCAAACCAACAAAGCAAGTGCCATCTTAACTATCAGGGTAAGGTCTGTAAAAAGATGTAAGGGGCCTCTTGAAAAAAAAGAATTCAACAAAGGAAAATGCACTAAGCCATGCATGTGATATCCTTCTAGGTTTTTAAGGGTAAAGGACATCATCACCAACTTGCCAAAAGAGTGAGAGCCTGGAACTGAGATTGGTGCAGTTCACTATGAAATCTTGGATTACTGTCATTTTAAAACTTTACTGTGTTTTCTATCAACAGACTGGACTGTTCCACTTCACCTACAGCACTTCTTCAGTACATCTTGTATCAAGTACAAACTCTCAGTCCCTCACTGTTTGTTGAGTGTATGTGAAGACTTGGGGGAGGAGTGGGTAGCTGATAAAGACTTGGATTATGGTAGGTACCCATTAAAACTATTGACCCAGTTTGGTCTCATTTTTTCTTTTATTTTAATATTTATTATATATATTTTTTGTCTGCTTAAATTAAAGCCAATGTGAATTTTTTTTAGAAATTAGCTGGTATTCTCTTCCTAGCTTTTGAGAGCCAGGGACCAGGCTCCTTAGTGTGGAAAAGGACGAATAACTGGACAAGTGTGATAAAAGAGAGTAAGCGGGCAGGAGACTTGGGTGGGAAGGCAGAGTTGCCATCCTTTCCTTCTCCCCAGGCCCTGCTTGGCTAGATTCAGTGGCCGATTTTTTTGTGCTTTTCAATACATAATTTTCCGGTATTGCCCAACAAGCAGCCAGGTTCCAGGCAGCGTGCAAAGAAAGGGGTGTGCAATAGCCTGGGGTTCATAGATTTTGCTATTGGGCCAGTGAATTGTGCTCTCCCTTTTGCGGAATTCAAATTACAGTTCAGGATTGTGATCAGTATTTATCAAAATTTTTTTTGGACTAGTCAAAGTGACTTTTAGGCTAGCAGATGCTAGCTGCAGCTTATCCGGATGGCAAGCTCTGAAGCTGACTTTCTTTATGTTTGCAAATGTTATTCAGTATACTTCACGTACAAATATAAAATTTTACCTACTGTTTCCTTCTAATACATTTTTTCTGTCTGAAAGGCCCAGAGGATGTGTTCACAGTGCTGTTTGAGTACTGTCGTGTGTCTGAGACAGCCCTGCAAAGGATCTTGGAAAGTTTCATTCCAAGCAAACTCACAGACAGATTTGAAGATATCAAGAAGCCAGTAGTGACTAGCTTGGTCCAGGTAATAAAGTTATAGGAAAACCAATGTTTTTGGAGAGAGAGTGGTTAATGTATTATCGATGTTTGTGGAATGAGGTACAAAATTTGTTTAGCCAGTATAGTGAAGTTTTAAGTCACGTGTCGTAAAGCCAAAATTAACCAGTCGCTAACAGTCGCAAACAATCAAATAAACCAATCACAACTCAAAGAAAATGGTGCAGGAGAATCCGGCATCAAGCGCGGGAAAACCGATGCGAGCTACACATTTGGTTTTGTTTTATTCCTGATTACTTGAGAAAACAGCCGACATCTTGTTTTATTTGTTTTAATATCAAATCAGCTGTTTTCGCAGGCGACGTGAGAAAATGACACAGGAGTTTTACGCCAACCCAGGAGCCCATCAAATGGAGCCTTCATCTCCATTAATTTCTTGAGTCAACCCTTTTCGGAGTAGATTTATAAATAGAACGGCTTGTTTCCCGCGAGAAGTGGGATATTTCCGTGAGTCTCGTATGTCACCGTGAAAAAATAGAGTTGGATGAAGTCGAACTCAGAAGCCCGTCCTTCGACCGTTTTCCTTTTCTTATTTGATGGGCTCCTGACATGACAGAAAATTTATGAAATTGTACCAGTTTGCTTTTGTCCAGAAATGCCCTACACAGGTGACGTTAAGCGGGGGAAAAGTGAATATGTCGACGGCCTCTTAGCTGGTGTGGCCACATCCATGTCTAGCGAGTTGTTTGAGAATTGAGTTTTGTTTCAGATCCTTCCACATAGTACCTGGAAAGAATGGAAACGGATTCTTCATATATGTCGACATCTTATTTGGAAAAATATTTTAAAGGTACTGATTTTTCCTTCATTAGCTTTGATCGATTCGTTTCTTTATCATCTGAGCTACATTTTCGCGATGTGAACTAGCGTGCGAAAAGTAGCCTCTGCGGCCAGCTCATACCACGAAAATGTAGCCGCTGCCCAGTCGCAGAGTAATGAGCGGCCGTCCTCCCTTGTTGTCTATTTATCGTATTTTTGGGATAAGAATATAGGAGCAGTCTTCATGAATGTGAGGAACCTTCTAATCTTCAAGTAAAAAATATGTCTATGAATAACCTAAATGCCTAAATAACTACTGAAACGAAAACATCCATAAAGTTACAATAGAAGTATCTGCAGGGCTATCCGCCTCGTCTCCTATCAAATTTTTACTGGGAAATACCGCTTAAATCAAGAGAGATCGGAGAGATTTTAGCATCAAACGGCAAACGTCAGATTCAATTTGACAGTTTTTCGAAATAGGAAATTAGCAGATTTAAACCAATTCCTATGGATAAAACTGGCGTGAAACTACTTTTTGTTGTGGACGTAACACGTAATGAAAAGTAAACGACGAGTGAAAGGAAAGCTTGTTAACGTGGTTCAAATTGCCATTTTCCTTTTGCCGTAAATGTGATTCTGAATCAAAGTATGAAACACGTTAGATCTATAACGATGTCTTGGCGTCACGAGCGTGGAAAAATGAAAAACGTCCTCGACGACCAACAACCACGACATTCCAGAAACCGGGCACAGAGCGGGTGCTCTACTGAGCTACGGAGATACTCATAGAGAACAAGAACATTTTTAAAAATAGGTTTCCACTAGTCATACGTTCGATAGGGTATATTAGGGTGTAAATTGCATGAAATTGCGCAGAAACGACGATTCAATTTTGGACTCAGATTATCAATTGGCAGCATTTCACATCTGTCCCACACTAATCGCCATTGTTTCAATCCAGAGCTATGACTGTTTTACAAAGTTCTTCTGACAACAAAAGTTAAACGATTTATCTTGTTTTCATTTTGTGTATCACAGGTTAGCGTCACCGAAGACATCCCGAGCATCGACGCAAGCGAAGATCATCAAGGTAAATTGGTGCACTGTGTGCAGTGTAGCGGGAAGACAAGGATTCGAGAAAACTGATTTCATTCACCTTACTGAAATGCGTTTTCACTTTAACCATAATGTTCCGAATCATATGTCCGAATATAAGCTCTCCCACATCAAAATTAGTTCTTGACCTTTCAGAGACAACAGCGCTTTGGTTAACTGATTTAAAACTAAATCAGCAGTTTGTTGAATGTCTGTACCTATACTTGCTTTGTTTTGCTTGCAGGCGTCTGCCAGCTCTCTGTCTTGTTGGTAAATGTAATGGAAGTCTTTTGCAGCCCCTTGTGTTCCTCGTGGGCCACCCTGTATTTGTGGATTTACGTCATTAAGCATTACATCACAGCCGTAAAGGAGATGGTAGACCAGACTGTGAGTTCTTTTTTTTATTACATTTCCGGTAGTAAGAACTATAGAAGTTCTAAACGTCGGCTCAGTTTATTGTTCCTGACCACTCGTAACTCTCCTACTGAGCTTGGGCTGCCTTTGGTTCAAGTTTACGTCACTTCACTCGCCAGCTATTAAATGCTCTTTCTGTTTTCTCGTGAGTTTTCTTTATTTTTAATTCATCTATGGAGGTTTAAGTATTCTTGTCCGGTTTGTATTGTCGCACTCTTTTCACCTGTTAGTTCCTCATGTAATCAAAGCTTATTGTCTCCCCCCTTGTTTTTTTCTTTTGTTTTTGTTTTTTCAGACTGATCCTCCAACAGCTGCCCTAGTGTTTGCGCATGTTTGTCGCGTGATGACTTTTGTGCCCCCTGACTGCACGGATCAGTTGTTTGTATTGTGTCTGGATTTTGTCTCCAGGCCCTTAGTGTCCTGCACCAGTGAACGATTGAGGATGGCAGTTAACAGTTTATCATCTGAAGTGTACAAGGCGGCATTGATACAGAAACTTTCCCAAAATATGTGAATATTGCAACTTCAAGTAAAGAGTAGAGGTCAGGTGGACCTGTCCGCACGGCTTGGACATTGGATATCAGGTCAACAGACAACCACATTAAGCCAAGAGTCATATACTCAGCTGTGGGACTGTGTATACCATGTGTCGCTAGTGACAGTCTCGAGACTGCAATGTGATGGGCTGCGCTATTTTCCAATGTTTCGCTCAAATTTCAATGTATTTGATTTAAGTGTTGTACAAAAATTACCCTTATTTTACATTAAAATGATGTCAATAAACAGGGGCGTAGCCAGGATTTTTCAAAGGGGGGGGGGGGGTCACAGAAGCTACTCACCGCGGTTCTCCCTCGTGTATCAGCGAGCTCAGTCGTATTATCGCGGCATGAAGGCCCATATTAACTAAAGACAAGAGCCGTTGATGAAAATACTTTACAAAAAGCCAAATTTTAAAAAAGTGGGATTTTCAACAATGGCTTTTACGGCCAAGATATTGTCATGGCGTTTTCGCCGCCTGAATATTGTAGGTTGTTTGCTCAAAAGAAGGCCTACCAAGGGGGCCAAAGGGGGGGGGGGGGGTCACGGGCACCCCAGGACCCCCCCCCTAGCTACGCCCCTGATAAAGCGCCCTAAATTTAACGGAACCCCTCCTTTGCAACCCCGCTTCTCTATGATTTATGTGTGAGTTCACTCCAAATCTAGCAGTTAAAAAAGGGACTCAGCATTGGGCTGGCCTTCTCGTACAGTAGATTTGCTTGATACGTGATACGTTATCGTGACAGCTTCATGTTGTTCCCGTGGGTAGTTTTGTCAAAGCGCAACTCTTGTAAGCATGTCAAACTGCTGTGGCTAGGATCAGCTGGAACATATTGTCTACAGTGGTAAACTCCGGTAGAACAGGTGGTAGATGAAGTAGAAATAAATTGTAAGAAGATCACTTGAAAATTGTCACCAGTTATGAGCACTTTGAAGAGTTAGACTCTCCATCGTCTCCAATTTCCGTTGTTCCTTTTCCTCTTAGAGACATGACCCTCGGGTAAGTTGGGGGTGGGGTTACGTTGTTGCTTAGTTTGTTTTTGTCACCTTTTTGGTTTCTTTCTTTTCATGAGGTATGGCATGGTGCATTTGTCTTTTGCGAGATATTTTTTGCTACATTAGAGAGCTAATATCTGGAAATCCCTTATTCCAGGCGTTTTCCTCCCTTTTCTCGGCCTTACATGTTTCGAGCCCGAAATCAGATATTCAAATAAAAATCAAAAGAATAAAAGCGCGCGGGACCGAGCTATAACCAGGCCATTTTGCTTTGTTAACTGATAGTCTTGTTATTTTATCTGCAAAACTATTTAAACTTCCTGTTTTAATGCTAACACTAACAGCTTTCCGGGCCAACTAGTTACTTCGGGACTTCTGAGAACCATTTCCCAGATAATCTGATCTATCTGAGGTCCTGAAAGCAATGAGCCGTCCCTGGGCGGGCATGAAGCAGATGATGTCGCATTTTTATGGTTGTCATTTTATTCTTGGTCAGTTTTTAGGAGGACCTAGTGAAACCTCCATTGAAGCGGAATCTTTTACACTGCTTTTGTTTTTGGTGGGGGTGGCCGGTGGGGATTGGCGGGAGATTCTGCCAGTGGAGAAACGGAGAGGAGGAGGAGGACACAAAAGGAATTGTTATATTCCTAGACTTTCACTCAACTAAACAGGGACCGCCATTGGTTGATTGTGGCGTAAAAGAAGGCGCGAAAACGCTGCTTGTTTTCTTTTTCGAGAATGAACACAACACAAACACGAAACCCCAAGCTAAAAAGCAACGATTTTAAAAGTTCTCCCAGAAGAGAAACAGCAGTCGGTAGAGGAAAATGATGCAGATAAAATAAAATAGGTAAAGTACTTTGTAAATCATCCATTCCGTCGTTTTATTAATTACCGTAAAATTCCGAAAATAAGCCCCTCCAAATATAAGCCCCCCAAACGGGTAATGCAAAAAATCCTCCGTTAAATCGCCCCTCCAAATATAAGCCCCCCCGGGGGCTTGTACTTGGAAAATAACCCTCAAATACAAAGTAAAACAAAGCAAAAACGGTAAATAAGGCTAGCCCAATCGATTTAGAAACGCAAATTTCCTTCTGTAAATAAGCCCCTCCGAATATAAGCCCCTCCAACTGAATAAGCCCTTCAAAAGGGCCTTTGAAAAATATAAGCCCCGGGCCTTATTTTCGGAATTTTACGGTAAATTGGTGTTGTTATAAGTACCGAGTCGACTGTTTTGGTTCGCTCCGGTTATCTTTTGTTGCAGTTGAAGTGAAAGTCTAGAAATATAACAAAACACTTACGGTCAGGTCCCTCGGGAAACCAGTTAGTTTTGTTTTCCCTAGAGTCCTGATGTTTCCCGAGACAAGGAAAACAAAACTAACCGTTTCCCTCGGGATCTGACATTAGTATAGGTAATAGCATGATTTGTAGTGATATTTGGCATAAATACCACGAGTGATATTTCGAAATTGTTATACGTAATTTCACGAGCCGTTAGGCGAGTGAAGTTTGAGACAATTTTGAAATATCACGTATAAATCATGCTATTATTTGGTTATACTACTACCCGCAAAAGTTTTGTAATTTTCACATGAAGGTATTTAAATTAAGCTGAAATACCACTGCTCTGAGCAAATCAAATTGCAGAAAAATTCTCATGTAGTTATATAAAGTGTATAATACTTCCTTGGATTTCCCACAGTTACTGAATAATAAAAAAAGAACTTCAAGCGCGTTTCAGAGCCTCAAAAACATGTCTTAGTTATGTTTGTGTTATATTTATCGCGATCAAGTACAACATCCACTTTAGCGCCACCCGGAAGTTGAAAGACCGGAAATAGTTTTGAAACGGCGCTGGAGAGGATGACATCACGCTCTATGTTAGCCAATCACAACTGGTCAAAAGGTCACGTGAGAAATAGACCAAAACAAAATCAAGAGGGACTAAGTTCGCGGTAAAAATATCTTCTGCACTGTGCTTGCCCGTGAAAATATCCTGTTATTTTAGGATTTTTGAATCACTTGCGTTTAAACAAGACAAATCGAAGCATGGGACGAATCTTTCTTGCCCATCCTGGTGGATCGAAGCTGTTTTCTTGCGCTAACTGTGACACTGCGTTGACGAATCGATCGCAGCTAACATCTACGGTAAGTTTCATATTTTTTGCTTAAGAATATTAAAGCTTTATACCAAACAAATATGGAACATTTTTTAACTTTGTCGGTGGATTTTTACAGTTCCTACCATAGTCAAGTCTCAAGAAGTTTCTAGTTAGTTCCAATTGTACCTTCCTAATCCTATAATTAATGGAGTAAATGGCGAAAGTATTCTGTTGATTGAAAAGAAAGGTTGTTTTCGCCTCAGCCATTTATTTATATTTTAATATTCTACAGGAATATTATAATAGTTTTGTATCCATTTATCATAATTTGACTTGTACGTTTGCTTTATTCAATAATCGCGGAATTTTAGTGGCCCTGCTGTTATCGATGTTTTTTCTCCGCAAATCAAGTCAAAATTTTCCAAAATTATTTTGCCGTTTTTTTTCTTTGTTATGTAAGCTAATAAGCTTAAGTCTTAGTATAAAGGTTAAGAAAAGTAATATATATATATACTGTCGATGAAGTTTAATTGCACTAATATGGGCAGCAAATAGGACATGAATTTTCATTCAGTTCGAGCGTGTGATGAGTGTATTTGGCGGAAACAGGCACCATTGATTTAAATTTGCAAATTTCTTATCCATCACTCTGTGTGGAAAATTAAATATGTATATATGTGTCCTCAAAAAATACCTTTGTAATTACTGTATTCTAATTTATTATACTTCTACAAACTGGCCTTGTGATTGGTCAATTATTGTTATCAAACATGCATGGCTTGCTATTTTACTGATGATTCAAATACCGTAAAATTCAGAAAAAAAGCCCCAGGGCTTACATTTTTCAAAAGCCCTTTTTGAGGGGCTTATCTTTGGAGGAAAATTTGCATTTTAAAATCGATTGGGCTAGCCTTATAGTTGGAAGGAAATTAACCATTTTTCCTTTGTTTAACGTTGTATTTGAGGACAATTTTCGAAATACAAGTCGCCGGAGGGGCTTGTAGCCTTATAGTTTTTTACAACTGTAAAAGTGTTATTAAATTGAACCCTGGTTTTTATTTATCCGAAAATGAACTTTACTGAATTGTATGTGGTAGATGAAAAACACTAATGATAATAACATTTCTCATCCTTCCCAAACAGAAATTTACAGGAGCAACTGGCAGAGCATTTTTGTTTAAGAAAGTGTGAGTATTCTTTATAATCAACCTCCCCCGCCCCCGCCCCCCTTAACTGGAGACGTTTCACTAGGGAGATTTCTGAATTTTTGTCTCAAAATTTCCTCATTCCTTTTTTCATAACATTTTCTGCCCAGAATCTGTTCATGTGAGGAGCTCTAATTTGTTTAGTATACATGGTTATTATTACATACAGTCTTTCATCTGTTGTTTTATATCATTAACCAATGACAGACAAAAGACTAAGATCAAATTTACAATGCACCAAATCTACCAGGCTTTAGAAATATGCACTAGGGGTATAGAATGGTAAATTTGAGACTTTGTGAGACTGCGGGATCCCAAGTAAGACCAAGATTTTAAAAAAGATTGAGACTCCAAGCTGAAAAATCAAGATTTAAAGATCTGTCCAAAATTTTCCCAGACCCACATTTTTGGAGGAACCATTCTATACCCCTTGCATTCCCACTTTGAAAATTTTAATTTACATCATCTCAATCGAAGAGCATAAAGAAAAAGGCCGTTAAGGACTGCCTTGATTAGGATAATAATTTGTAAGTATCTAGTGCCCTAGCTGGTAATTGAGCTACACTTGGTGGATCTACATGGTCATATTTTTTATTTCATGTAAAATTTTTATACCAGCTCAATTTATGTTTTCTATTTTCTCACAGTTAACTGCTCAAGGCAAAGGAAAATGCTTTCAAAAAGAAAATGAAAAATGGTAGCCCCAAGAAAAAGTTTAACTAAAATATCAAATGAATCAAAATCCCAGATCCATCATGACCTCTGATAGGCTTCAAAGCGACATAGAACGTCAATTGTTATAAAAGTGAATCAACATTTCTGTTTTGGGAGGATTTGTGTAAAGGTGTTTTCTAAGTTTGGTGGGTTTTTTGGCTGCCATGTTCCTTGTTTTCCATTTCTTTCTAAATTCCACTTCCATCCTGTTGTGATCTACAAAACTTCTTTGGAAATTATAAGACATTTAAAGAATATTTTAAAAGTTTTGTGAAAACATTCTTGCACCCAACAAAATTACTGGAATTGTTAAACAAAGGTTATGGAGAAACTGTTGCTTTTTTTTCTAGGGTAAACTTGTCATACAGTGAAGTTCAAGATAGAGTAATGGTAAGAATCAAATTTGCAATTATTCCTTTATTTTTATGCTTACTAAAGTTTATAATTTTTATTAGAAGCAGTGACTATGGCATGGACTTGTAAGTATGAAAAGTAGCTCAGTCAATCACATAGCTGTACGAAGTGTAATCCGGCCTGTCTGGAAAGCTAGATGGAAATATACCAGTTGCACTTGATGTTTTCAAACTAGCCATATTATATAATGGGACTATTTTGCAGCTCAATTTTTTTTTCATTCAATTTCAGTATATCTCTGGGATTCATTTGTTTATTGATCTTTAGATTCTTAAATTTTTCTCTATATGCAATAAATTGCAAGTAATGCCAACAGTTTTCCTGTCAATGGTTTATTCCAGGGATAACATGCCGGTTTGAAATCTACATATTTATGTTAAGCTCTAGAAGTGCAATTCCCAGACATAAATTTTGAACTTCTCATTTACATGCACACACGAAGTTGTAAATATGTTGCAGTGATCCTTAAATTACTCCTCAACCTCTAGTCCCTTTTCGCAGTACTTATTTACCATTTATAATCTCCCCTTTGCAGTTTTCTGCTGCTGAATAATCTGTGTTATTTAATGCATAATTAGCATTTTTTGTTTGTTGCAGCTTACTGGAAGACATATGGTCAGAGATGTTTTTTGCAAGAACTGTGACACCAAGTTAGGGTGGATGTATGTAAGTGTAAATAAAAATCCTAGCTTTAAATGTAAGTCCTATATAAGATTTTTGACCCCTTTTATTGTCTGTGATTGTTCCCTCACTAATTAGAACTAAGTTAACACTGTACAGGATGACATATGCGATGAACAGAATTTTATTCATTTTTGATTAACTAATTAATGGTCCTTAAAAATGCAGTCCTACTGGAAACCAAAAATTGCTACCCCTTCCTTCTTTGTTGTTTCCTTCATCCTTGTTGGACAGAGGGAAGGGTCGACTCTGTAAAATACCTAACTATATATGCTGCCAACTTGTATGGGTCGATCCTCAGTGGGGGTGGGGGGAAGCACTGTATGGACTGGTCAACAGACCCCCACTATAGACCCACCTTTATGGACCCCCCATAAAAAGACAATAATAATAATGACAGTTAGAGATTTGACTTCCTGTTTAGCTAACTTGTGTATTCGCTGCCGGCCTCCGATTGCCTCCACTATTTTGTTTGGCTCATTCCCCCGCGTGTTCATAGACTCATCCCAGGCTTCACAAAATAGTGCTCCTTCGACAACGAAAGATGCCGATATCCATTTTGTTAGATCTGGTTATAGTTTAAAGAATACATGCTGTGTGCAGCTGAACATTTTACTCTGAGTTCGCATCAACCTAAAACTCTGCGTAGAGATATTAAAAGCAGATACCTAAGATAACAGCAGCTATGGAAAATTATATGATAATTTTGATTAGACATATCCCATAAATGGGCAACAAATTCAACAGGAATATGTGCGAACTGAATACATTGTCTGTTGCACATGAAAGGTTCTGCTCAACTTGCACAAATATTTTCCCCTGCTGAACATAAACTGTACCGAGCCATATCTTGGTCTGCTATATAGAAGCTATATCATGGTTCAAATTTAAAAGTGCAAAATCTCTGAAAAAGTTCTCCTCACTGGAGCAATATGTAAAACGTTTCCAAAGGTTTCATGCCAGTGAAGATGTGTGGCGTACATGACAAACCATGACAAAGCAAAATAATAGGATGAAAATAGATTCTATGCAACTTACCATCCCACGTGCACGCCAACGCCATTTTTACAATCTGCGATACTCGGGCTGATGTGACCCCGTTGGTATCGGGCAGCGGTAAAACCAAGATGGCGGAAGAAAATGGCGGGAGTTTGTTGTTCACGTAGCCGTAGTAGGCGCGAGCAGTCGTCTTGTTTAGCATCATGCAAAGTTTGCGGATACTGGCGATATATTCGTTTGTCAGCCTTTATAGTACAAGCATAGAAATTTTATTTGTATCTTGGAAGCACTTTATCCAGTCACCTTCCGAGCTTCATGGTAAAATGTGCAAGAGGGAGTGATGGTAGGGGACTTTGTTATTTGTCTGCTTGCGTTTTTAATATATTTATTTATTTATTTATTTTTATTTTAAAAAAAGAGGGGTCCAGAAGGGGGTCCAAAAAGGGGTCCAAAAGGGGGGTCCAGAAGGGAGGGTCCACATTTTGTCTACACCCCATCACTAGACATCACAAGACACTGAAGGTGTGAATCAGGTTCTGATAGCAAAGTATGTAAATTTCTGAGGATGTGGTCAACATCCTTTTTAAATTGAAGTCCAAATTTGGAATAATCAGGGCTGTAGTATAATTATTATGTCAAATGTTGCCCAACCAAAACCTGTTCTAAGTTAACTCCCTTCTCTCAAACGTACTTTCTTCAAGCTTCCTTCACTCTTTCAAACTTTAAATTTTTGTGTTGAATGCAGGAATATGCAACTGAGGAGAGCCAGCAATATAAGGTGAGATGTATGTTGCCATCAAGCAACCGGCATTTCTGATTTTAGTCATGTTGTCCTACAAGATTTGACGATTGTATTCATATTTTCCTAGATTTACTTACTATTTACTTAATGCATACTGTAACTGTTTGTAGGAGGGTCAAGTGATCCTGGAGCGTGCACTGGTCACAGAAAGTGAAGGAATTGAAGAAATTGGTGACTGACAGTATACTTATAATGCTTCAATATGTAAAAATTGTAGTTGAATTATTACTAAGGCAATTATGTAAGGGCACATTGGTTCAAACAGACAACTGAAAATGGTAATTATGTTGATACTGGGTAAGTTTTTACTAAAATTATAGCATATTTTCTCAATTTAATGCCGCGCCCTGAATAAATGCTACTGAGGTATAAAAGTACTGTTACAAGACTTGTAAAGCACCTTCTTCCTATAAGCATTTATTCAAGGTATGACAAAAGAGCTGTTAAGATTTTTAGCCTAGTAAACCTCAGACTCAAATAGCTGCGCACAGTATTAAAGAAATGCCTGGTCCACAACACTAAGTTTGAAGTAAATATATGAGGAATTTCAATCAGGGGCACCCAACGAGAATATAGTTCAAAACCACTTAAACATAACATTGTTGAACGTATTTTAGTATTTAAACGGTAGATATAGGCATGTTTTTATCCCCTGAAAATTTTTCATCTGTTCGGATTTCCTAGCTGAAGGTCTAGTGATCCGAAAATTATAGGGATCAAAACTAACCTTTTCGAAAATTTCAGCCAGAAAAAAGGCTCCCGAAAATTCTAGGTGACCTTTTTAGGGGAAAAATCCGTTAAAAATGGGCAATTATACCGTTTTGGGGGTGTTCGAAAATCCTAGGAGAGGCAGGCAAGCAAGAAATTTAACACAAATGTTCGGAAAATTCTAGATCTCAAATCGTCTTCTGAACGGATATTTTCCAAAAATTGTCGTTGGGTGCCCCTGTTTCAATGCAGAAATACAGTAATGTTAGTTATACATGTATAAGAGTTTCTGTTTCATCAAGTCAACCCACTCACCAAAGTATTTGTGGCCCTAGCTATTTATGTGCTTGACTCAGCAGACTCCCATTCAGGATCAGAATTTCATTAATTTACTTTCTTCAAGGTTGTCGCTTCTGCCTTAATTGTTAAGTGCCACGATAAATATGGAATTTTGTAAATATTTAGATTATGCAGCATAGGACACTTATTATTAGTATTGTATGCTTTTGTATTTATATTGCATAGTATATAGATGATACATACACTGTAAATGGTATAATACCTTGTCCCCTTTGTGGTATTTATTGATAAATAAATTTTTTACATTATAAAACCCCCAAGTGCATGTAAGCGTGTGGTGAATGTGTTCTCAGTTATATTATGGACACCCCACAATTTTAAGCCTCGAGGTAAATTATTAATAAATTAAAGTAATAACTATGTAGTCAGATAGCAGATTCACAAAGTGGTTCTTTTTTTACTATATCGTGTCTTCAGTGAATTGAAATATTTGGAAAATAATGTTGATTATATTGAGGAGAGGGGAAAACTGGAATTCTTGGAGAAGGACCCCTTGGAGCAAGGGCAAGAACCAGTAAAAGCTTGTTTTGTGAGTCTTATAAGTCAATGAGTTATGGGTCAAATTATGAGTCAGGTTAGGATGAGAGTTTGCCTTAGGTCAGTTAGTGGTTCATGACTCAGTCATTAGCCTGTTCCAGGCTCCGAGATAGTTGGGCCCGCTGAGAAAGGGCGAAGACGAAGGTAAAACGGGAGGAAACTGGGGAGAGAAGGGGCAAGTGAGGGTTATACTGGGATTTTTCCCGGGGATTTTCAATGCAGTGTTTCTTTAAATTTTGCGTGACCAAGAACTCTACTTCTGCTTTATGCACTACGCTTATCGTCAGACTATGCGAAGAACTTTAAATAACCACAGCCAGCTGCTCAAAACTACTTAGAAATTGAATATTTTCTCTTCTCTCTCCCCGTCCCTCAGGGGCACCCAACGAGGATATAGTTCAAAACCACTTAACATAGCATTGTTGAACGTTTTTAGATTCAAACTCAAAAACTTTTCATCTGTTCGGTCCTGCTGAAAGTCTAGTGATCCGAAAATTATAGGGATAAAAACATTTCACCTAGGAAAAGGCTCCCGAAAATTCTAGGTTCCTTTTTTTAGTCAAAATCCGTTAAAAATTTTATACCATTTTGTAGATGTTCGAAAATCCTAGGAGAGGCAGGCAAGCAAGAAATTTTACAACAAATGCTCCGAAAATTCTAGATCTCAAATCGTCTTCCGAACAGATATTTTCCCGAAAATTGCCGTTGGGTGCCCCTGGTCCCTCCCCCGTTCTAGTAGAGTCTCCCCATCATAGCCAACTTTTTTAGAACTCAGCATTGCGGTTGCGCGAGCAAAAACATTCGCTTCCAGTGTCGCGTATTTTTATCTTGCGTCTATGTTATTTACGTTCGATTAAAAAATGGAGCCTTTGGTCGAGGTCGAACTTTCCGTAGATTTTTTGAACCTAAAAAAAACTTTTTGTTTAAGCCTGTTCATCTTGCCTCTATTTAAAAAAATTTACGTGCGTTAACGTGCGTAGCCAAAAACGCGTTAGTGGTCAGCTGGACTCCAGGCCCAACGAGCGGTCTTGTTCTTGCAATCTTGTTTAGGCCGGGTACAAATGTCATGGTACTCGTTCATAAGGGACTTTTAATCTGTTTTCTGACGGTTTGTCAGACCAGCGTCAGTACGATCAGCTGGAACTGATGAGTTTTAAATTAACAGGCTAAGGCTTTTGCAATGAGTTAGGGCCAGTTTACAGGGAGGTGGTGGACCCCAGGTAGGTGAGGTAACCCGCCTGTCCATATAATCTCTCCTTTTAATTTGATCACGTTTACATGATAGGCGGGGTGACCCGCTACATGTTACCTCACCTATCTGGGGTCCCCCACTTCCATGTAAACGGGCCCTTGGTTATGAACGAGCTTAATTACCAGAGTTGCCGCACCATGTTACAGGGTAACTGGTTTTGCGTGTTGGGTGGATAAGCCAAGCAGGCCGGCCTGTTTGTTTAGTCCAAACAGGCTGGAATTACTAGTTCTAAACTGGTAGAAAAGACACAAATATTGGAAAGAAATAAACTGCAAAAACGGTGGACGAAAGTCCTGCTGATCGCCGGTCAAAGTTGGATCTCAGCAGAAATTTTACCAGCTAAAAACATTTGAAATAGAAAAACCGAAAGCACGTGGACAGGACACGCCCTTTCGAGATGAGTCTCATCCATGTTATCCTCTAACAGGGGTCCCTGGCCCTACCTCTAGCTGCAAAATACTTTCGTCAGGGTAGCTTCTTTCTCTCGCAAGAGATCGCTCCCTATAAGGGTGGATTTCGACTGTCGCGTAATTTTTTTACGTGTCTACATGACCGTAAGAAAAATTTATGCGCGTAAATAAAATAGAGGCAATGTATGAAAGGTCGCGTTTAAAGTAAAAGTTTACGGACATGAAGGCCCGCACGATCTTCGTCTACTGTTTCTGCAGCTTACTTTTTGATCATTGCTCCAGTAGGTAATAATGCTCGGATTTTCTGCGTTCGCTGTCTCAGATTCACAGTTAATGAAAAATCCCTGGGCTATCCTCTCGCTAGCCTGCGTTACAGCCGGCCCACGCACCCGTCTAAACCATTAAATAAATATACAGTCAACTTTCTCCAAGACGGACACCTTTGGGACCGGCACTAAGTGTCCATCTTAGAGAGATGTCCGTCTTATAAAGAGTCAAATAAAGGGAATAAGCAAAGGCAGGAACCAACTCTAGGTGTCCGTTTTACAGTGGTGTCCTTCTCATAGAGGTGTCCGTTAAGAGAGAGTCGACTGTAGTCCGTGGCTCTATGCAGAAGGTTTAGAGCGTCTGCGACGCAGGCAATCCTCTCGGCTTAGAGGACCGTGATTCCGCACGTGCCAACGCACTGTGCACTGTGTTCCAGACGTGGAGGAGTCTGGGAACGACAGTGTTTTAGTAATTTGTTTCCGTCGTTTGGAACTTATTCTGCTTTCCTTCCTGTCTTTCAAGAACCAATTACGATCATCGGCCAGAAAGCTCATTTAGACTTTTCTATTGATGCACCTTTGGAAGCAAGATGATGTCGTACTCGTTTCTCAAAGTCTCGTGAGTTTTCGCGTATAAGTCACCTGCAAGAAGAGCAAACCGGAAAGACTTTAAACCGGAAACCCTTTCGTCAAGATCATGTAAAATAGTTGATAACATGATGACATCATCATTGATTTTAAGCCAATCACGTCTGTCTTGTTGTGCCACCTTTTAGACACGTGATATCAAAACAAAACATTGAAAACAAAGGCAGGTCGACAGGTTCGCGGCAAAAATATCTTGCGGTAAACAACTGGCGTAATTATACCCTATTTTCCACGCATTTCGGGTTTCTTGTTTAGAGAAGGACAGCTCATATTATGGGTCGCATCTTTCTTGACCATCCTGGAGGAACTCGGCTGTATTCTTGCGCTAACTGTGACACTGCGTTGACAAATCGCTCGTTGTTGACCTCGATGGTAAGTTACGTATGCTAATCAAGGTTTTAGGAGAAAAATAATAAACACAAGACGTGGTAAGTTTATCTCAAATCTATTTGTGCACAGTTCAAAGTAACGAAAATTTTGTAAAATGAGCATTGTAGTTCGCGGCTTGCTCATTGTGTCGTACAGTCGACAGCTTCATATGAAATAGAGGTGACTTTATTTGTCGTACGCGTAAAAGTGGGCTCTGTATATAGTTAATCGAAAATTGTCAGCTAAGTTTATGATTTGCATTAAGACTTAATTTAATTCCATGTGTCTTAGTTGGTACATTTCAATGTTATTGTTACGTCGTGATTATTATTATCAATGCCTCACTTACTGCGGTACTTTTGAAAGCTCGGCCATGATTATAATTCAAAATAAACTGGAATTCAATACTGGAAGTCCTCGAAGGGAGATTGAATATTGAGGCCAATAATATTTGCACGACGTGAAACATATAAAAAACGGTCTTAAATCATCTTTTGTGGTTCTTGAAAATACTTTAGGTAAACAATTTGCTGGTATTGAGTTTAAGTAGAGGGGGGCCTAAGATATTTATGGCTGTGTGTGGAACCTCAAACAGTTATTTTTTAATTAAAATATTTGCCAACCCAGCCTGAGACCATTCTCCTTAGTGGGGAAATGGGCGAATAACAGGAATTGAGGAGGGAAAGGGGCAGTGGATCCTGGATGCATTAAAATTTGGGCAAAAACATTGCCCATGCAAGATTGCACAAAGTCCACTTCTGGTTAACGTCCTTCACTCAAAAATGTCGTCTCTGTTAGAGTGAAGACACTTAGTAAGACACGTGGTAGCATCAAGGCACAGTAAAAGAAAAAGGCCTCACTTATGGTTGAGGTGCATATTTGCTCAAAAACGCCTTTGCTTGAGGTCACCTACTATTGATACCACCGATCCACCCTCCAGTAATTTACCTGTCATTGAAAAGTCAATCAAGTCGTCAAAAAGATGTTTCGGGAGAAATTGTCCCATGTGCAACTGCTGAAAAGGCAAAGGGATCATCCTGGCAAGGCTCAAGGGACAAATGTCAACAATACAGCAAATCTGTCAATGTTAAGACATTTGACCAATCCGAGCAAGTTACCAGTATCTGGTATCATGGATTGGCAGCATCAAAGGCTTGTCTTCAGGTCCCACTGCCCTTCCCCTTCCCAACTGCTTTCAATTTTTTATACCTGTTATTAACCTTCTTTCGCCCACTAAGAGGATCCAGGTCCCAGGCTAATGTCAAAGGCAGGTTATTACTAACACAGAGTAAAATTTTAATCCAGGTTCCTTTTTTGATTGCTAAAAAGGTTGGCCTTTAAGTTACTAATAATTATTAATCTACAAGTTTTATAACATATTTTGTGTCATCGCTATACTATACTTATCCTAATAAAATACTATTGCAAAGTTGTATAAATTTTTACTTAGTTGTTTTTGGTTTTGATTCAATCTTTAGAGGTTCAATGGAGCCACAGGAAGAGCATTTCTGTTTAAGAAAGTGTGAGTTATGTGCATCTAGTAAAATGCCTTGTTGTTAACAGAAACCCAAAACATTCACTAATATCTTACCCAGATGCTGTAATGTATTATATTCTAGGGTGAACTTATCATACAGTGAAGTTCAAGACAGAGTTATGGTATGTGAAAAACTCTTCCTTTCCAGAAAAAACCCTAACAAATAGACAGTGAAAATTTTTTACACATTTCTGCCTTGTCACCAAAGTTAAGGAACCTGATGGATTAAGCTAGTTCCTTAGCAGAATAAATATTTTAATTATTGCAGTTACTTTTATCCCTTGAAGCCTGCGGTCAAAAACCATGGGGTACTGGTTGATGGGTTAACCAATAAAGATTAAAATTTGAGGTGCATAAACTTTATTAATCACAGTGCGTGAGAGTTAATTATGGTTGCTTGAATTAAAAAATAACCTCAGGAGTTGTGATTGTCTGGATAATTAGGTTTATGTGAAAGTTAATGTGCATAGTTGACGTGTAGAAATGTATGTGACTTTCCTCTTTTCTTGAAATATTTGATGTAATTTAATGTTTACATTTTTTGTTGTTCTGTAGCTCACTGGAAGGCACATGGTCAGAGATGTTTTCTGCAAAAATTGTGAAACAAAGCTTGGGTGGATGTATGTAAGTGTAATAATGAACTTTGATAACATATATATAAGTAATTTTATATTTAATTAATCATTGTTATAAAGGGCTAAAAATAGTTATTTGTAACAATTTTTTCCTTTTCAAAATGTAATATTTTACACTCCTGTATATTCCTTCAAATATCAGAATCCAACAGTTCAGAGATTTTTTGTTGGTCATGAATTCTTTTTTTTTTCTGACAGGAATATGCAACTGAAGAGAGCCAACAGTATAAGGTATTTGCCATAATAACAGATAATATGCTGTCATTTTAATGCAGACCAGTGTTGTTTTACAATGACAGCAATTTTGTTACCTCTGCATCTTGCATCCCTGACACCCTCATGCGTCCCATAGGACACAAAGATCAATCCATTGATCTAAACATGCATGTGTATTGTAAAAATATCCATCCCGTTCGTGTAGTTTCTGTGGCAGTTATATGGCTGTTGTTTAACGATGCTTATTTCTTTTAGCCTTTGTTGTGCGTTAAAATAGAAGGACTATATTTTGTTTCAGTATACTGTAATACAGAGTTTTGGAGTCTGTCTTCATATTAACTCAGTCTGGTTACATAAAGGCCTGCAAGTATTTTCAATTTCAGACTCGTTTTTTTTTCAACTGGTACTCATGATTTTTCACAAGATAACTCACCTATGATAACTGTTTATAAGAAAATCACTGCAATGAAGCAGGACAACCATACCTACCTGTGGTACTGTGAGGGAGTGTTCATTATTAATCAGCAGCTGGGTGTCTGGTGAATGGCAAGGGTTGGACTAGAAAAAAAAGTTTGCCTTCCCCTTGAGGGTGCAATGGAAAAGTTTCTGCTTGGTAAAGAGGTCCAATTATAAAGGGGCAAAAAACTGGGACTGTTTCCCACTGTGGGGTACAAAATGTTTTTTATCATAGAGGGGGCACAAGTTTTCCCATTCTTGTCTTTTTAATGAGTAAATGTTAAAGCAGAAGGAGTTCACTAAATCAGTAACTGTTAGTTATGTTTATTAAGAGGGGTTTTTTGTGGCGTTCTGGCTGGCCTTGAGCTGGTAGATCATGATAATAATAATATTAAAAATAAAAATAAAAATAATAATAATAATAATAATAATAATAAATATAATAATAAATATAATGGCTTTTCTGAGGTCATTTACTTTGCCAGTTAATTGTAGGCAACGTGAATCACAGTTTCTTTGACAAAAGCTTTTGCTGTTATTTTGTTAGACTATTAGTTATTAGATAACTTACTTCATACAAAATATTTTTGGTTCCACAAACCATTTAGGTGTCCCAAACTCTGTTCAATGAACCTAAAATTGAAAATTTCTTTTCCTTCTTCACACTCTATTATTTTTATATTTAAAAGCACTGATTTGTATTAATATATATTCTGTGTGAGTTAAAATAAGAAATGACTTCACTCGACTTTTGCTTGTAGGAAGGTCAAGTTATTCTGGAAAGAGCACTGGTTACAGAGAGTGAGGGAATTCAAGAAATTGGTGACTTTACTCCTTAAAAGCAGAACAGCTGATTATTGTTATTTAATTAAAAAAATAACAGTGTACTTTCATTAATTTTTGTAGTACATGAACAGAAAAGGTGAACTTTGTGATAGTAACAGGACTTAAATTACATTTCTCATTATTTTTTTTAACTCAGACAAAAGGTCTTTTTTGAGAAAAAATTATAAGATTTCTATATGGTCCTATAATCTGACACATTTGGTTGTTTGTGACTGTAAGATCCAGTGTTTAATACCATCTTGAAAAAAAAAAAACAATGTTGCCTTTTCTGTCCATTCCTGTGTTTGAAAGAATCTGTAAGAAAGTGTAAATAGATCCTGCCCATAACCAAATTTTCTCCCTGTCCTTCTCGTTTGATTCATAATTTTCAGTTTCCTTGTAAAATAGTTCTAGATTTTCTGTGAGCTTTATTTAATGACAAAGTGATATTAATATAAGAAAAAAATATATAGACATAGAGGATAGTACATTGCCTCTCAGAAATACGAAATTTCTCTTTGATTGTTGAAAAATATTTCATGAGTGAGCACAGCGAATGAGTGAAATATTTCTTCAACACAAGAAGAGAAATTATGTATCTCCAAGCGGCCATGTAATGTTCTACTTATTATATAAACACCAATGAAATACCAAACCATTTCACTTTAATAGCTTTTTGTTGTGAAAGGCACAATTTATTTTGTAGCCATAGCAATGGTGATCTTTCACGTGTGAAGATAACGTGTTATTTTCACATATGAACATCATGTCCTCGCACGAAAGCTCACCTGGTATTTCATTGTTGTTTATACATGTATAAAAAATGGCAACTATTTTGTAAATTAATTTGTGTAAGATGAAAACTCTGAAAAGGTATTCCTCAACCATGCATCACATAATGTTATTTATATATAAAATTTTTGCAAAACATGACTTTGAGCCAAGACAGGCTACTTTATGTGTTACTTGTATGTACATATGGCTTTCTGTACACTAAGCTTGTAAAACTATACACCAATTAAAAAAAATTGGCCCAATGACCTTGAAACCTTTTTCTCTTCGCTATATTTGGTATTCATTCTTCCTTCATGTGCCCAGACTGCCCAAAAGTCGTGTTCAGTGGGTTGGCTCTTAACTGGAGATATCTCCATCCCATTCAGGAGATAACACAATATTATAGCAATGTAATAGGGGCACAGTATCATTAACTGTTTAACCAGCTGATATGTAAGTTGTGATAAGCTTTGCTAATAACATGCATTTCAGGATTACTATTAATAAATAATTATTATTTATTAATAGTTGAAATAGTTTGTATTAGCTTCACAGTGCACCCAGTTTTTGTTTGAGTCACAGAAGTCAAAACAGCAGATAAACAAGACAGTCCCACTCTGTGTTCAGAGCATAAGGTATTTTTTTGAAGCATCAATATTATTTAATAATGAAACATAGCATTTACGGTTGTTATTCATACAACCATTACATAACTAATGACAGTTAAAGGTGTTCCGTCATTGTAACGTTTGTCATAAGACAGTGATATTAACAGACGGGCTTTTTATGGTGAACGTGGTCAAGTTGTTTTCCATGGATGATGGTTAGATCCCTTGAAATGCTCTTATGCTCTGGCCAGAGTCAACCCAGACTTTCCATTGATGATCTGGCCAATATGATATCAATTCCTTATGCTTGGAAAGGTTGATGGCCAAGTATCCAGCAGGAATGAATACTTTTAAGTGAGTACTTCATATTTTAAGATCACAGTGATAAACTGCTAATGTTCAGTAATGATGAATCAGGATGTCATTGACAGGACAAAACAAAGAAAAAAACACTGTGAGTGACCATCTTGCATGGCACAGAAGGAAATTGCAAATCAAAGTGTTCAGTTTTGGGTGAACAGCATTATCACTGGCAAGCACTTGTTACAGCTCAAAAATACCTTGTTTTTCAAAGATGGAAACCAGATTCCCAGATTCTTTACAAACCATGCCAGTTTGCCAGGAACTTAGTCAATACGATTTTTGTTTCAAAAGTCACAAAACATTTCACTCTTCTTTTCCAGAGTTTCCATTTTGAGCTTCTTTACTATGTAAAGGATGCTGTACACTGTCTCCTTCCATATTTAACATGTGATGATCACACGATCTCCAACACCAAGAATCTGGCAGGTTTCTTTTTTTTTTTCATGATGACATAATCTTCATTTCTAGGTACAACCCTGGATCCCCAAGGCTGTTTTTCCTACGTCATGTGAAAATCGCGTGACAAGCCACAAGAAAGAGCATTCATTCAAGTTTGCTGCTTTATCAAACAGTGGACGCAGTAATATATTTCATCTCTCATACTTTGGGGCCAGGGTGGATTTCTGTTGGTCTGTTTCAGTCAAAGATATACAATATAAAGTTCAAGGCACTAAGTTAGAGCATTTTTTATTCTTTATTTTGTCCTTTTTAATTTTTTTGTTAGTTTCTTCAACTTTAGTTAACATTATAAGCGTACCAGCCAATGAAATGAAACCCTTCATAATCATACGCAATATTATTTTGAAAAAACATTTTTGGGGCGGTCAAATGACATTACTTTACTATAAGAATTTTGTTTGTATGTATGTGTTATTTTTTGTTCTAACCATTTTTTCCTTTAGTCTGTAGTTACAATCTGCGAGCTTCATATCTACATATTGTAGCTTCACACACTGAGCGGAACAGTTTAGACTGTTTAGGGAGAGATTGAAAATGACTGAATTTCCCAGCTAGCCTTCACATTCAAAAAACTAGTAACAGCTGTCAAGTTAAAAAGATGATTTTTTGCAATCCTGCAATTTTGAATGTATTTGAAAACCTTAACGAGTTGTAAGCAAAAGAATTTGGTTAAACCACAACTTACAAACAAGTAACAGGTATTATATGAAGATTGAAACTGTTATTTTCAAAATAAGGAAAGATTGGAAACACAAGATTGTTTCTTGTCAACTTAAATTCAACGTGCATCCATGAGGATAATACAGATTGTTCTCTGCAGTAATGCACCAAACCTTAAAAACTTCTTAAGCCTTTACTCCTGGAGTACAAGTACCTGTGAAGAAATGTTTTGAGTCTAATGACAAAATCCTATCCTATGACATTATACAAAAATGAAACCTCAGCAGTATAAAGGAATTCTACCTCTCAAAAACCCATGGTGAGAAAAAATCTAACAATTTCGCCAATACAACCAGTATTTCATGACTTTTGGGATGTCACAATAACTTTTTCACTAATAACAGTGGCTAAAGCGAGAAGTCATAAAAAAGTTCAAATTACTATATTTTTTAAATCTCAAGAAATAAATAGTACTATTCGAAACTTCTACCAAAGAGGTTTCATTTGAATGGTTACAGCGCAACATTCATATGAAGTGTGAGAAATCATCTTGCTCTAAGTTGGGCTGGGAATGAAAGGATAAACGGGGGTTTACTGTACTTAAGTGTATTTTTTTGTTGCTGTTGTCCAATATTTTTATAAAATGAATTCTTAGAACGAGGGATAAGCAAAAAGAGTGATTGATAAACCAGCTATCATTATTGTAAATTTATCAGTAAACCTTCTTGTAGCAAGATGATTGGGAGACTATCAAATTCTTTAATACAAAAGTAATTTTTGCGACAACCAAAGAAAACAGTCATCTCTAGCAGAATTTAAATTATGTTAGTAAGAAAAAATGTTTAATGGTGATCTATCTTGAATTCTATTTAGTTCTGATCTCCAAATGGACTATTTTAGGTTTATTTTGTTTGAAATAAACCCGACTTAAATCATTATTAATTTTTTTGTTTTGTTTTGTATCTAGCAGTTTAATGTCTGCTATTGTTTTTCTGTAGTCTTGTTAGGATTATCTTAATCACCAACATAATTATAAAAGCTATAAATAAGATAAAAATTGTTCATTTTTCTTCCAACTCCTGAATGTCATCTTCTTTATCAATACATGTGTCAACTAATGGATTATTTCTTTACTTGTATGCACTGCATTATGATGTGTTGTTAGCATCAGCAACACATGAAGTGTGCCAATAAGGTTTCTGTATCCTTGAACCATTGCAGTGCTAAGTTCCTCTGTAACCTGCTTTTCTGACTATTTATACAATTCATTTTGCTTCCAGGCTTTAACTCATTGTTCCTTCAAACTCTGCCATTATGTCACTCTGTTGATTCATATCAATCGTACCAGCCAACTGTAAGATGTAAGATCATAGCAGTATTATTAGTATTATTAACAATTATCCCTCGAGCCCTAATGGGCTATTGACTCGAAGGCCATGAAGGCGAGAGGAATAAATGTTTAAGTAAAATCCAACTAGCTGGTCAAAAATATCGAGAATAAAAAAATTTTAGCTAGTTTAAGCTAGACTTTAATCCTTTTTTGCAGCCAAAAAGCGTGCATTTTTCGCTACTAGTAGGCTATACCATATAGCCTAGTAGTAACTCAACCGATCAGAACGCAGCATTGATAATAGACCACTAGTTGGATTTTACTTATTATTATTATTATTATTATTATTATTATTATTATTATTATTATAAGCAAAGGACCAAACATTTTAAGTAATACATAATCTCTGCTATCAGCAACCTGAACTAAGGAGACATACAGAAATGGACCCAGTTCAACAAACACTATGAGCTTGTAGCATTCCAGAGGTGTTTAAATATGGGACCCTTTTCAATTTGCCTAACCCAAACCTAATAACTAAACAAACCGTTAATACTGTCGACAAGGCATAATTATAGTGTGCCCTTAAAAAAAAGCATTTAAAAAAATTGAATAACCCCTAATGAATCAGAATGTGCGACTTCACAAAGAAGAAAAAAATTCCACAATTTCTTTGCAAAAAAACCAATAATCGAGAACAGTCACTTTTAATAAATAGCTTTTCATGAAAATCAAAATCACTTTCACATCAGAAACACTTTTTACCTGGTATTGCAAAAGGGGTATGGGGGCAAATTAGAAATGGCCTACAGGCTAGTTATTCAGGTGGTACAAAACTGCCACGCTGGAGAGCAACAGATGCACTGAAAAAAATACAAAGAGAGGAAGCTACGATCTTAAATAATGTGCACTGTTTGTTTGTCTTGTCCTAAAGCATCCCTTACTCTCCAGCATGACTGCTTTGTACCATGTAAATGGTTAAGCTGGGGGAGGATAAACTAACCGCTTCTCGTCTTCGCCTTTCAGCCTCTCTCATACGTTCTATCTTCATTTTTTGCACTTGCTTGGCATGTTCTTGTTCTTGAACTTGCCTTGCTTGCTCTAAAGCATCATCTTCTTCCTTTTCTCTGTAATGGGAACAAGATAGCTAAGGTTAAGCCAACAAGACAAAAAAGTGCTGGCTCTTTTTTGGCTCATGCAGGGTGAAGACAAACCTTTTTCTTTCCTCCGCTTGTCGCAGTTTCTCCAGTTCCATCCGTTCCTTCTGTTGACGTCTCTGCTCCTCTTCAGCTTTCATTACTTTTTCCTGTGCAGTAATGAAATGATGGAAATTAACACAGTAGTATAACCTTGTTCTAGTAACTTACAGTCATTAGACACACCACAATAAATTAGGCATTTCCAGGTCCTATGTAATGATTAATGGGTAAGACACTGATGAAAAAAAAAAGTTTGCAAAATTTATTATACTGCTTGTGTTACTGTTGTGATATGCTTTCAACCTCTTGTTTTGGTAAAATAAGCTGCTAAAATTGGTTAAACGAGGGGCCAAGGGCCTGGCAAAATGTGTTCCCTATATTGAGGCTCTTTGTCATATATTTTACTATTATCGGGGTACAGATGATCGTTTGTTATACAGAGGTCTTTGTTATATCAAGGTTTTGCTGCAACTATGAGGAGTGAAGCCTGGGTTACCAGTAAATTGACTGCACTTCATACCCTCTCTTCCTTATCCCGTGCTTGCTGTCTAAACTTTTCAAAGCTTGCAGAAGACACAGGTCGTGAGACCGAGGAGCCTGATGAACTTGTGAGACTGGACCAGGAAGGTACTTGTCGAATTGGTTTGGCTGCTGAATCCTAGAAAACAGTTAACCCTTTAAGTCCCATTATATCCACATACAAATTCTCCAAACTGATCTTTACATATTTCCTTAAAGAATGAGTTGAGACAATTTGATAAAAGATCAAAGCAAAGCAGTAGGTGTTCATTTTATTAATTCTAATAACCAGATCTCTTGACAATGTATGGATATCATTAAGAGAAAACTGATCTTGGTCACTATCGGGACTTACAGGGTTAACACTACTGATGAGTGGGAGGGGAGTACACTTACACCAAACCACAGATAAAACATGTTCATACTACAGTTAACACGAATGACCTGAGGATCAGAGAAAGTTCTGATTTGTTTTTCTTTGTAAATTCTTACAGAATGTTAGTTAATATAGCTGTATCTTCACAAACATGAGTCCTGCCTTTGCACCAAATGTTGAAATTAATTTGCTTTGTAAGCACCTTTATGAAACTAATGATTGGTTTAGGCAAGCCATAACTAAAACATCCTTTGCAAAATGAGCAAGATAGATCCTTAAGAACAAACACCCTAACTAATTCTGCACTCTGAAAGGGATGTTTTGGGGGGATTTGTGGGTATAATTGGATCCCTATTGCTCACATGGTCAAAAACTAATAATATTTAAGCAACAGAAAAAACTAATGATTTGGCTTGAAAACGAGAATGCAAACAGAAAATTTAAATAGTAAACTAAGCAAAAATAGCCAACTTGGATGCAAGGTTGCGTGGTATTGATAATTAAACTTCAGTATAAAAATTTTACCTTCTTTGTTGATTGATTTTCACTTTTTTGCCCTGAAAAGAAAAGTTAAAAAAAGAAATCATGATTGGTTTTATCAGAAAATCCGTAGCACTTTTTCCTTACGGGTCTGACAGGATTACAATAATAATAATAATAATAATACAACTATTAATTTTACAAACATACCAATTGTTGCAAGTGAACCAGGCAGCTCTCCGATGTTAAATGTTAAACCACTGCTCCCTGTAAAGAGAAGGAATATAAATGCATGAATGCCAGTGGTAGATCTCAGGGACATGGGGAAAGGTATCATCCTTCCTGCTTACTAAAACATTTCTTACAGAAGGGTGGAGAAGTAATCAGAAACAAGGAATAAAGCCAATTTTTTGGCAAGTACTGGCATTGTGGGGAGAAATAATTTTGCGCTTGACAGGAGTATCAAATGTAAATGTAAGGGTGCCTGGAAAAACTGGGCGATTCTCTTTCCAATTATTGCATTGAATTTGCTTCTGGTCTATCGCAAACAAGAGTTACGGTTCTGTAGTGTGAAGATACGATGGGTGGATTGTAGAAACACACCTGACTTTGCAGTAGCTGATTTCTCTGCACCAGCAGCTGGGGTTTTGTCTTTCTGCAGTATGTTTGTAGTAGTAGTGACAGGTGCCACTGTGGCTGGAGGTTTACTAGTACTGGTTGCACTTCTCGCAAAAGGTGCTGCAGCAGGCTGCTTAGGTGTGACAGTTGTGCTGCTGGGTGTTGGCTTGTGCACTGTAGATGCTGCAGCAGGTTTAGGCATAGGTTTGGGTGCTACTGCAGGGATACTCGAAGTAACTGGTTTAGCAGGTTTAGGTGGCGCAGCACTAACGACAGGCGGATTGTTAGCTACTGGTGTTGCTGACTGGATGGTGGTGGACACGACACTTGGTACAGCATGTTTTTCCTGTTTTACTACTGGCGGAGGCTTTGGAGATGGTACAGCTAAAGCAGGAAGAAATGGGTTTGAGAGTCCATGCAGCAACCTTTACATCTTTAGCTCCTTAGTAACCTTTAACTAATTTCAACAAATATCTTGATGGACAGAGTAAATTTAAGAAAATTCATTAACTCTGACAATGAAATAAAACAGGGAGATCTTATTCATCATAGTTTGTGGGTATGTTTGATAATCAATTATTGATCACTTTGTTACTGATTTTACTGTGGGTTCACCAGGCAATGGTGCTGACTGGCTGTTCAATACTTAGTGGTAGCATCTAGGGTTGTTAGTGATTGGTGCATTAATTTTGATCCTTACTGATGACAATGAGGATCAAAGACCAATTACCATGAATAATGTTCCTGTCATGGACAAAGCCTGTTGCTACTTATAAGTTCCACACAACTAATCGACTCCATTGCCTGACAAAGACCAGCAGTAAGTAATCAAAACGGTGCAATCAATGACAACTCACTGACTCTGCCTGTAACGTCAAATTAGTCAACAGTTGCAATTGGTGTGGGAGAGAGGCAGGGTTTTCATTAACAATTCTAATAGCAGGAGAGAGGTGTAACTTTACAGGAGAATATTGTGAAAGACACTCCACGTCTGAGTAAAAAATAGTCATAGGCTACCAAACGTTTGCTGGGGAATTCTGCACAGTAAACAGACAATTCTCTTATCTCTGATACCTGATGAACACCCTGGAGATGTAGCCTGAGAAAACAGTGACGCCACCAACAGGTTCTCTGCAAAATGACATTTGAGGGACAAGTGCAGAAATTCCATTCTGATGATGTGTTGCTACCCAGATCTGAGTAGTGCTTCTGATTGGTTTAACAAAATTGTCAACCGAACAAAAGCACTTCCCAAATCAGGGAAATGCTGGTCACTAGCATGGAATTTCTGTGCTCAGATGTCATTTCCAGGGGAAACTGTTCTGGTGGCATCACAAAATGTCAGCTGTTTTCTCAGGCTAGGCAATCATTCTTTGCCCCGACTGCAGGCCCACTTAATCTCTTAAAGGGACAGAGAGGGAATGGAATCAAAACCACAACAAAGAATGGTCATTCTTGCAAGAGCAAGACGTAAACTATTTGCAGCCAATCTGTATGGCTATTTAAAATGGGAAGCTACAATAATTATTGTAATTTGGAATAATCTGTTCATGTTGTCCTTCAGCAGCATAATTAAAAATAAACACTGTTCTAGTGAGGCCTTAAACTGCTTCTGCTTAAAAAGTAAAATACAAAATCCAAGCTTTCACCAATCAACAGCATCATCAGGGATGATGATAATTATGGTGCAAATATGTTTTTGATCTCAGAAATGAAATGAATCTAGATGTTTAATTTTGTGACTTTGTCATTAACTCAAGTTATTTTGCCTTAAGGAAAGTTGTATGTAAACAAGGAAATTTTACATTCACATCTACAGACACTATTTTAACATCAATTTGGCTGCTGACAGGACCTGTCATTGATGTCAGGTGTTCTTTGAAATGGTTTCTCTAATCCAATGATGATTTCCACTATTAATGTGGTGAAATAAGCAGTTATCACCAGTTTATTTCCCATGAAGAAGGTAACAATAATTGTGTTTTTTTATCTTCTCAATTTTTTTTTTTTTGGGGGGGGGATGGGGGAGATGAGTTTGCACTTGCCAGATGAAACACCTTCATAAAGTGTCCACCCGAATTAGTTAATTCAAGTGAACAGAATGGTGACCATTAAATTTCAGAAATCAGGACCAGAAAACAAGTGTGGCATTTAAAACCATTGAGAAGAAAAATGTAGGAGTAGGTTACTGCAATCTCCCAGAAATTTCCTCAAACAGTTTCAAGATATTTTAAGACACAGAGATAAAAAGCATTGACCTTTTGAGATAATTACTCAAAATTTTGTGGCCTTGTTTACACTCTTACTTTTGAAAAACGAACTTGAAATTTGAGTGGGGCGAAAAAGGTTTACTACCCATCATTTTAATTGCCACAGTAGTTTTATTAATATTCATTCACATTGTCGGTAAGTATATCAGTCACCTAGCAACTTCAAGGGATTTACAGGAAATGTTTGAAAGGGGCAAACCTACACAGTTTGTTTTTCTTTTTTAATTACTGATGGTGAATTGAACAAACAATAAGGATTGTAGCGAAAAAATGTGATCAAACTCATCTTTATTTTATGCTACCGCTTGGACGTTCACACACTTTACAATCAGAACACTCAACATTAGCTCATATCAAATGACTTTATTTTTCAAATTAGAGTTAACAGTGCTATTCTCTATAACCTTTTGAAGGAAGAGGCGATTTTGGGTAGTTTCAAATGCATCAAACAACTTGAAAACCTGCACAAACGGACCCGTGAGTTTTTCTGGGACAGGCTTAAGTGGTCTATACAAAGGGCCCTTAGGCATACAGGTTTGCACCATAATGAGCTCCAAATTACACAAATAATATCCTTGTTGTCATTCATTCAAAATGTTTCTCAATTTCTGATTGGTTCAAATTTCCTTGCTGATTAATAACAGCTCAAGAATATACAGGACAAAGACAAGGGCACCTGAGAGACCTAATTATTTTGGTCCGTAGGAGCTTAAAAAATGGCTGGAAGATTTGTGATAGCAAAATTATCGCTAATTTTAGAACTCAAAAAATGGCAAAAATACACTAACATGTCATTATAGGAAGTCTAGTTCATTTCTTAAACCTGCCAAGGAACTGGCAAAAGTTACAGGAAATTCTACATTGACATAAGGATGTTGTGCACTTTGAAATATTCTGAATGAATTGAATTTGGCTTAGCTCTGGGAATATATCAATTAACTGAAAGAAATTAATTCAGGATCAAGTGAGCCAATGCTGTGAATTTTCTGCCACATTATGGCATGAAGAAAACAGTCTGAAATGGACTGAGCAAGCTCTACCTTTTGTCTTTGGTGCGCTCACTTTGAAGTCAACAGACATGGGCGTGAGACTTGTAAGACAGCCACCTAGCCCATGCTTAACTCACAAGGATGTTAAACAAAATGCTTTTAAGCTTCAGTGAAAGTGGGGCAAAGTTAGCTGATCTGCATCATGACTAAAACTATGAAATTTTGTTGTTTATTTCATAGATTGAAACATGTAAAGTACAGATGTTTAATGTATAAAACATAATACCACAAAGCAATTCAAACCGACCATTTCTTTCAGCCTTGGTAAGACTAGTGCGTATTTATTTTTCTAAGGGTAGAAGGAAACAAATTCTGAAACCTGCTTTATGGAGATGTTATGAGAGGCAAAAAAAATGGTGGGTTTGAAGACATAATGTAAAAGTGGGGAAATGAACATACCGGGCTGGGCCACAGGACTCGCTGCTGGTTTGGACGGCGTTGGTGTCGCCTTGGATGTGTGCCCAGCAGACTTTGTCTGGCAATTTCAGGAGGAATAGAATCAGATCTGACTCATTAGTATCAATGGCTAAGTCAGAACACCATAAAGCAGGGATCAAACAAGATGGATTGTGAAGCAAGGGATTAACTTTAAGAGTGCATGAGAGGATGCGAGAATTCACCACAAGATGGGACCCAAACAAGAGCAATAGTATTTACTCTTCTTATTTCTCTTAAATTTTTATCAACTCTGAACTGAATGAGAGGAAAAGATAGTGGGCAGACAAATTAGAGCAACAGGGTTAACTCTCCTCAACCCTTCCTTGTCCATTCTCCCTCTTGCTTGATCCTAACCTTGCAAGCATGAAACAAGTGTGAAAGTTGGGGTAAGCGAAAAGTGTGCCTATAGTTAATGTAGAACGCATTGTTTTGGCATTTGTGTACAAGAAATGTTCAACTTAGCCAAATGAAATGAAAGCTTTGACAAATACATTCTGCCTATCAATATAACAAGCTGGTCACGGCAAGTTAAAAAGTCAAAGAACCCTTGGGCAGATTTAAAGTGACAGAGATGCAACTGATTCAGGGGTTTGAACTCTTGGTTTCGGAATTCAAAGAAGTGGTAACAGACTTTGAAAGACTGTTCACCATTCCAAAAAAAAAAAACCTGGAGAGAGCACAAAAAGTCGCCCTTCTCTGTGTAATGGATGTGCAGTACATTAGTGCTTGCTTTAAACATGTTTAGATATTTAATAACATTGGCTTATATATTTCCCGTAAAAGAGTTGCATGTTAATTTTTCTGTTCGGTTAATCATGTGACAACTTTTCTCACTGTTCATGTATGAGCTTAAAAGTTTCCTTTGTCAAAAAATTTGGCTGCTTTTTCCCAAAATAGTACTGTACAAGTATTACTCCTGGGGATGCATATTGCAAAGGGTATGAGAAAAGGAAATTCTTCTACAAACGAAATTCTTACAGTTATTTATTTTGTTCATCACTCTTGGAATATTTTCACAGTTAGAAATTTATGATGGGATATTCTCTGTTTTCACTGCCATGTCATCAAAGATAAAAATCAAAAACCATTCAATACAGAAAGCCCAGAATCTGGGAAATGAAGGAAAATGACTATACAAAAAGCCTCAACAGGAATCAGGGGTACAAAATATTTCATATGCGAAGCAGTCCAAAAAATGTTTTCCCAGATTTAGAAATCTTTGTCAAAAGAGACCCCATAATAGTGTCCCTTTGAGCGGGTTTTCATTAAGAATTCTAGTAGCAGGAAAAAGGTGTAATGTTAAAGGAGAATATTGTGAATGAGGCTCTATGTCTGAATAACAAATATTCATAAGCTATCACACATTAGCCTGAGAATTCCGAGTAACAAACAGAGACTTCTCTGATCTCCAATGCCTAATGAACACCCCTTTTGAGGGCACAAATCTGGATGATGCAAAACAGAAACATCTGCCTTACAGTCTTCCTGTGTCATTTCATCACTTGAGAAACTCATTCTCATACTCAAAATTATTGTATTCTGAGACAAGTAGTTTAAATAGCAAAATTTTAAAAAATCTGTAAAGTTTTCAACGTAAATGAGAGCTTTCTTGGCTGCCATCTGAATAGGTGTCATGCAAAAGCTTAGAATTTTAAGCATCCTCTAATGAAAAATGAAGAACTCTTTTGAACCAAACATTTGCAGACATAAAGGTGTTCAGCTCCTATCATACCTCGGGAAAGTAAACACTCGCAAAAATTGCTATTTCCCTAATTTGAATTTTGGTAACATGTGAAAAGTGAGAATTGGGGAATTCATTTTGCACCTCCTGTCATTTTAAATCATGGCTACCCCCAATAGCTTTGACACATACAGCTAGAACGTTATGTGTTGATGGGTTTACAAAAGGTCAATGGATGTCTAATGTTAGCAAACTGGCTTTCAAGGAAACAATTTTGTAAATACTAATTGTGCGTGTCTGTAAGCAATGAGTTGGTTAACAGAAATGTGATGTGTTTGTGGTAAAGAAGACGGCTTGATTGCAAAGTTGTGAATGAAATTATAAGTACCTTGCTAGTACTGTGAGAAGTCTTGTGGGTCTTACCACCAGACTCTGTCAAACAAGGAAACCACATTAGATCCACCTGCACTAGGGAACCTAAACTCGTCAACCGACAATGTAACACATGTACAACCAACAAGCAAAATCCAAAACAGTAAAATACAATTTATTTTGATGCATCAAGATTATTGGCCAGATGCAAATTTTAAGTTACAGACCCAAGCTGCCTGGCAGTCTTTAAAAGCATGTCATACGAATCCTGTTTGCGTATGAAGAAACATGAAGATGTTGTTCAGAGGCTTCCTAAGTACTATCATTGTTCAGAGGATCAAGCAAACACTATCTACCCTAGATTTGTTTTTACAAATATCCTACCTAACACTTACATTATGGCTAAACGTTTATGGTCACACTATCTACTCGCTTGAATGGTAAAAGAACGGCAAAATCAGTAGTTCGTGACAGTTCTATACACAAAGAATTTAATGTACATTATTTACACTAAAACATATTTATGGGAAAGACTATATTATAATTTTTTTCACGTCTCTTCTTCTTCCAGCATTTTTGCTCGCAAAAAACAAAATTTAACTTTCCTAATTCTATGTATGCGACTTTTTTCTGAGATAATGGCTATTGCTGCAAGTCTGTCGTCTATTCTTCACTACCTGATTCAGAGTCAGAGCTGCTTGCTGAGCTAGAAGAGCCAGAGCTTGAACTCGAATCAGAACTACTGCTTGTGCCACTGCCGCTGCTACTGCTGCTCTCGCTTAATCTTCGTGGTCGAGGCTCGCTGCCAACAACATCCACAACACAATGATCAGAGCGCTGTGATTCTGAAATGGAATCAGAACAGAATGGGAAGTGCTGTTAGTTAGATAGTGTCTGAGAAGAGGGAGGGAGACAGAGAAAGAGAGAGAGAAAAACAAGACTATGAGAAAATCAAACTCCTTCAAAGAAGTTCACCATTCAGCTTAAAAGATCTCCAAGAGAGAAAGGATGGAATTACTTCAGTGATGCAGTCCTAGGGTCTTCAAATATAATTTATAGCATGAACTGGGACTATTTTAGCTTTTCAAGGAAGGTAGAATGCCCAGTGCTACATAAAGATACCTATTAAGCAATACTGTTGCATTCATCATTTTCAATGTATAGGTCTTCATGGATAACAAAAGAAAGAATCAAGGAACAAAACTGTATGTACCATTTCACAGCACTGCACGTCTAATCTGATGGTTGCGGAACATAAACGAACCTGTCGTCACATGTTAATCTCTTGCAGTGACCACCCCAATATCTATCTTCAGACAATGCCTAAATTGGAGCCCAGCTCTATACAGTCAAGTGCAACACTTCTTGTAAGCAACTATTATTCCAGAACACTAAACTTTTCCCAGCCAGAGCCTTTTAGATGAAACCTTGCAAACCAACACTTCTCACAAGTAACTGTAACCACTTTTTGTGGTTTTATAGTTTTCCACCTTTTTACGACAGCCATACTGTACAAGCAGTCACACCATCAAAGCTTACAAAAATTTCTTACCAAAAAAATAGCCGTCACCAAAAGCATTTCGGAGAACTCAATGCTGAACACATTTTACTATGGCTATAACCTGTTGTTTTGATTTTCAACAATGTAGAAAAACACAAAACACCAATAACAAAGAAATACAGCATGAAAACAAAAACTTTGAAAACCCTACAAGAAAAATGAAATGCAACCCACCTTTCTTTGTCTGCTTCTTTTGCCCTGTTCCTCCCAGCTTGCCACTGACATCCTTGGTGAGGAAAAGGAGTGACGTGGTCAGCTGAACCCCTGTACTGCACCAGCTAGCTTACAACTTACATAACTTGTACAAATATTGCAAGTAAATTAAATCAAATGCCTGCGCTTAATACAAGTACATCACAATACCTGAAGTCGCCGTTCTAGTTCCTCTTTTTTCTTTGCCTGCTCCATTTCTCTTTCCTCTGCGTTCTTTGCCTTTTTTGTTTGTGGTTTCACCTTTTTCCGTAAACACTGTTGAACATATTTTTCCAGCTCTCTGAGTGTTGATGGTTTAAGTGTTTCAAAGTCTATTTCAATTTCATCCGGATTTGAATCTCTCAGACCGGGTTCCCTGGACTGGATGATGTTTACCACTCTTCCCAATTTGTCTCCTAATTTTGAAATGCAAATTAATGAATTAGCTCTTTTATAAAATAGATGCATTCAGGCAAAAATGTTTCCCACCATAATGAATGAATCGTCTTCTTGAACAAGAGAATGTTTTGAACTTACCTGGTAGTTTGTTTATATCAAGACTAAGCTGCCTTTTCTCATCATATGTCATTGGTCTTGCTGTGTCCACTTCATCGTCACTATCCACCTCTAGTGTCTTCTTTTTAGCCGCAATCCTTCCAAAACACAAACAACCTCCTTAACAACTAATTTGGTACTTTCCTTATTATTAGACTTCTTGCCCCAGTTGTTCAAAAGTTAGATAAAGCTATCCACTAGAAAAATCTCTCTCCAGCAGATAGCACAACATAACTGGTTTCTTCAATACTAATCCGGTGGATAACACTATCCAACATTGCACGAGCCTGGACCTTGCTGTTTTTGTGCTGAGGTTACCTTATCCATCAGCGAGGAATTTTTGACTTACACTGCTCAGACTAGATTGTGGTTATTTAGGTTGTAAGTTGTTAGGAGTTATCAATAGGCACTTAATACAGTACAGCAGGGTTGTCACTAAGATTTTAAGTGGCAAGGTATATGCAGTTAGTAGGTGGGGAACTAAAAAATAATTATTTGTCACTCCAATAAAATGGTTTTTCAGTAACAGTTACAATAAAAAAAACATAAATAGATAAAAACTACCCTGGCTAGTATATAATTTGCTTGGCATAAGCTGGTACAGAGAATTTAAGCAGCTTCAAGGTACATGATCTGATCACAATTATATTAGGAAATTTTGTTGGTTCTATGGAGTTGCATTGAATTGACACAAGGCATGATGTGAAAAGTTCTTGTCCAACTGGAACACATGCTTGAGTTGGGAGGTATGACAATAAATTGAACAAAGCAGTAAACAGATTTATTGAAGTTGCTAGTAGCCAACTTAATGACATGAGTCATCTCTGTAACAACTACTACAAAACTGGCCACAGAAGAAGATCAATCAAAAGTAATTCTAGGCATAACTAGTGACTAGTTTATTTAACAACAGTTGACACAATATTTGTATGTTAAGCTTACTTGCTGTTTGCAGATCGTTTTGATGCAGACTGTTTTTTAGCCGGTTTTTCAGCTTTTGGTTGAGCATGTGCAGCTTGAGACTTGGATGCCTTTTGCTTCGGTTGACTCTTTGGCTGCGGCTGTGCTGCTTGTTTGATTTCCTTTTTGGAAACAGTTTTCTTTTCAGGCTTCTTTTTTGTCTTGTTTGTTACAAGCACAGACTCCCCAGTTAGTTTGCTCAGTTGCTCGTGGACTGATATAAGCTGTGAATAACAAAAGTAGTAAAGGCCTCGTAACCTGACCACTTGTCTCTAATTACAGCATCAAATACAGACCTACAAGTTGAAGAGGCTACCAGGTGACTGTGTAAAATAAATTCTTAAAAAACCTATATGGTTTCATATCATTCTCTGTTCAAAAACAAACGGCTGGCTAGTTGGTAACATGGTCAAATAAAATATGTTCACATGATTATGATAATATTATAAAAAGCCCAATTTCAATATACAGTGATCCCCTTTATGCCACCATCTAGGTGCCATGAACAACAAACTGTTTCAATAAGGTTAATTTCAAATAAGATAATGACTGAGTGTTTTTTTCAAAAGGCTAAACTCCTAAAACAGGATGACTCAATACAAGGTGCCACTGTAGTCAAATTCACTCTAAAATATAAACTATGAGAAAAAACCACAAGGAAAATAACCATAGCCTGCAAGAATGCCAGCTGCTAGAATTAGCAAGATGACCACTTTATAATTATGTCAAGAGGGCAAAAATCATTGAAAGTAAATCAGAGATGAAACAAAACCAAAAACTCTGGCTTCACTTTGCACCCCTTTCCCCTTCTCACATAAGTTTAAGTTTAATAATACTTTGTCATGCTAATACGAAAAGTGCATGACTGGAGAATAATTGGGGGAAACTAAATTCCCATACAAAGAATATTCTGCAACATTAAACATGCTAAAAATTAGGAAGTAAAATTTAAATGCGGCCCAAACCTAACCTAATTAAATTGCATACTTGTCAGTGACTCACGAGTTACACCCGATTTAAAATTGACACAAATGACCTAACAGGTAGGACTTAAACATCAGAAACATGGGTGTGGCCTTAACAGAATCGAGAGAAAAACAGTTGAGTACCTGCTGTTGAAGCTGAGAAAGTTGCTCAGCCCTATCTGCTTCATTGTCATCAGAAGCAGGGGACGATGATGGGAGTGTAGCAGGAGACTCTGGCTCTGGTTCTGGTTCAGGTATAATTGCTGCTGGAGGAAGCTCAGCTTCCTCTGGCATTTTTGCAAATTTCATTTCAAAAACATCCTGAAAATAAAATATTCAAGCAAAAACCAAAGTCGTTAGAACCTTACAATAAGAGGTGTAGAAATGATCAGGACAGATGTCAGATATGAGACTTCCCAACTGTTACCCTTGCTTAATATAACAATAAGTCAGTATATTCTTAACTCTTATAGCCCCAATATCCACATACAAATTCTCCAGACCTATCTTCATACATTTCCTTGCAGAATACGTTGAGAGAGTTTGATAAAAAGATCAAAGCATTTTCCCTTTTGTGATCATTTTATTACTTCTTATATCCTTTCCTCTTGATTATGCACTAATACTGTTGGGAGAAGATTGATGTTGAACACTGTTACATTTACACTGCATTGATCATGTTGACAAACCTGAAGCTGTCTTGCCATTTTAACAACATCATGATCTGGAGGATTGTATCTGTAGCAGTTACTGAACATGAGCCGCACATCAGCAGCAAATTCAGATGACGAGCTATACTCTCTGGCCTCCATTTTCCCCTGTCACAAAAATTTAATGATTCATAAGTTTTGTAGCTAAAATCGACAAACAGAAACGAAACAAACATGATTAATTAATGATCCACAAATGCTTAGTGAAAACAGGAAGAGGAGAAGAGAAACCCGTGGGAACTGGGGGAAAACTGGAGGTGGGTCCACTTAACACTGTACCGTCCCTTGCTCCTAACTGACCTACTGTTGTTAACACATAACTGCATTTCTGAACTTACCCTAATTGTCCCCATGTCCATGGGTTGCTTTATGATATCATGATAATCATGCAGTCCAAGTGAGGAGGCATCAACAGGCTTGTAAAATGGCCATGCATATGCCTACAATGAAATAATAACATCATTCAGTTAATATCAGGTGTGCATTTCAAGACAAACAACACATCAAAATTATCCTTTGTTGAACATCTTTGCATTTGCAACTAAACGTTGCATGTCTTGGTACAAGAGTCTAAAGACTAACACTAACTTTACCACAACCAATTTGACAAAAACATTCCACAACTTTGGACTCTACAAAAGTATGCCCTTGAAGTCGCATCTCATATGAAACATGAGATTGCAGAACAACATGACTAGTACACGGTTGCCACAGCCAGAGGTTTTTGAATTTCCTTGAATTTTTTCCTAACTTTTTTGAAAAATGTAAAATTTCCCTCACCAAGTGAATTAACTACAATTTCACAGATTAGTCCTTATAATGGACTCAACACTCCCATCACAGCCATCCCCCACCCATTTATTTACGCTTTCAGCAAGTCACGTGTAATGTACATGAATTGGTAGTTCCTTAATATAATGTGCACACAGGATTGATTTTCTGAAAACCCAACATCGGCTTGTTGTTCAGTTGAAATGAACAATATTCTATCAATAAAACACGATTCATGTTCATAAAAATGTAAAAATGTATCCTTAAAAGTATGTCTTTTCCCTGACTTCTTTCAAAGACTTAAATTAACCCTGACTCATAGAGAAATTCCCTGACCTTGAAGAAATATTATTTTTCCTGACCATTTCCTAACGTGTGGCAACCAAGTAGGATAGCACTAAAGTAAAAACTACTTTTTGAAATTACTGATTGACAGTTTGACAATGGGTATGGTTTATAGTTAGCCCCTCTCTGGAAATTGCTATAAATATTCACTGTGAAACTCGGAAAACTGTGAAAACCAAAGATATTTCTGGAATGTTATTTCGCTGCAAGGAAAAAGTCAATTATTTTCATGGTTTCATAGTCTACTGCTTAAGTGTGATTGGCCAGTACACAATAATAATCCCTAAAATATTATTTGGTGTTCTAAATTTAACAGAATTAATACTCACCACATGTTTCTTGGAAAACAGTTCTTTGATAATATTGCTGCAGTACTTAAGCTGCTCCGATAATGGTTTCTTTTTACCACGAGCCTAAAAAATTACAAAGTACAACATTCTTTATAAAGAATGATTGTTAAATAAAAAGAAGAAGGAAAGAAAGAAAGAAATGACAACAAATTTCCCTCCTCTCATTCATCTGACCTCAGTTGTTCAAAAGTTGGATAGCATTATCCACCGGATAAATCACTATCGAACGGATAAGTGTTAGGGAAACCAATAACTGTGATATTTATTGGATAGTGATTTAAACAGTGGATAGCAATATCCACCTTTTGAACAACTGGGGCCTGGTAAGTACAAAATGTTTAAAAAAAAAAAAAGAAAAATGTGCTAGCAGCAGCCAAGAAAATAAAATTATTTTTTCACTTTCATCTACAATCTGATATTTGCTGTTTTCTTTACAGAAATTAAAAGGAAAGGAGAGTTGCAACAAATAAAACAATTGGTAAGGGTTTTAAGTGTGAGATCACTGAACAGCCTAGTATTTGCCCTGTACTGACCACTCCAGAAAATACCATAACATACCATAATGCTCTTTGTCTGTCACCCCAAATTTTGCATAAGCATTGTTTTCCATTTCTCTTGGGGTCATTTTGACTCCCAAGAGAAACTTAAGACAATGCTTATGCAAAATTCTGGAGTGACAAACAAAGAGCATTATGGTATGTTATGGTATTTCCAGAGTGGTCAATTTCAGTTTGCTAAGGGTGATTTAGATGGTGAACTGTTGTGATGGATTATGATTGTGATAAATCTACATGTCTTGTATGAATTTGATTGTGTTAAGTAAGACCTGGTTCAGACGCCAAACATAATACATTGAATTTAGTACATGAAAAGTTTAGTGTCTGAATCAATTAGCGACGCCTATTTCAATTTGAAATGGTTCTTCCCGGCTAGCCTGGCCGTGAATTTCAACTGTGGAACAACTTTGGAATGCCTTTCATTCAGATGCCAAACTTTTCATGTGCCTAACCTAGTGCATAAATCATAATAACGTATTTTGCAAACAGTTTGACCAAAAAGAACTTTTTTCTTCTTTTGAATCTAGTTCAGCTGGAATCAACATCAGCGTCTGAATCAATGCGGATGGTCTAAAAAAATAACAGTAGGTTTGATAATGAAGACTAATTTTAGTGCTGTACGTAAGAAATGTAGCTTACCATCTGTGGCTCTTCAGGTAAATCTCGATTTGGTTTTTTCACTGTTCTTGTTGACTCTCTCCGTGCTGGTATTTTGGCCGCTTTAGCCTTCACAGGAGGTAAAGCTTCCCCCATTGTACTGATCGGCGTGGTGGGGGTCGTAGTATCTGCTTTTCTTTTCACTCCTTTTTTGACCTGAAATTTGAAATAGCATATGATCACTGCTTTGTTTTAAACTCAATGACAAATCAATGACCTGTAACTGCTTGTATCAAACTGCATCTCCTGTACCCCTAATGACATAATTGAAAACAGATCTTGCTAATTATAACCATTAATCAGGGTTCTTACAAAAAATTGCAACCATTTTTTAAGGACTTTTCAAGGACCACATTTGATTTTCAAATTCTAATAGGACTTTAATGGCTTGAACTGTTTTCTAAACCAACCCTTATACAATTTTTAGTTCACTTGTCTTCCACTTCACTTAATCACCATATACTTCTCTGGCCTATGATCCATATTCTGATTTGGACAACCAAGAAGCATTAAAAACACTTTCCAGGCCACTACACTCAAAGTTGATGGCCTTTTCAATGAAAACTGGAATTCAAGGACTTTTAAAGGACTTCCCCTAAAATTCAAGGACCTTTAAGACTGTGCGTACGAAATGCTAACAATCATTCAACTTTTACTAGAAAATTCAAATGAAAACCCTGTTCCACTTCCTAACATACTTCCTTAAATATCTCAGGTACTTTCACTAGATACATTCTTAAAAGAATAAAGCCTAGAAAATGTCCAAAAAAAGGTTGGAAAAAGGAGAGGACATTGTATGAAAGATAAAAGTCAAGGGTTCACTCTCAATTTTGTGTCCAATACTACATTTTGCCCCACCAACAACGCATTTAACTTCCTCTTTTTGGCCACCTGGTGACCAGAAAACAGCTTGACTAGCTTCAAATAGTATCTTTTTGCTTACATTTTCCAGAAGCAAAAGGCATTTAGAAGTAAGACATGTACCCATTTTCCAGGCTACCGACATGATGGAAAATTTTACCCTTTCTTTTTAAAAGAAACCCTTCTCATTTTCTTTTACTCTTCAAGTCAGCCAGTCAATAACCACTTTCAACCATTTTTAAAAGAAAAAAGCAGCCTAGGGATACTGCTAACTGAAAAGCATCTCCTAAAATTTAAAACTGTACATTCAAAGGATTACCTTGGCTGGCTGTGCAGTCGATGGCAAAGCAGGAGCTGCAGAAATAGCAGGGGTAGGTAGTGCAGTTGTTGCATCTACTGAAGTTGGTAGTCCTGTTGTAGCCACAACAGACACTGGCGTTGTGGGATATGGCAAACTTGTCATGGGAGTACTATCTGGAGCAACTTAAATGGCAAAAAGGGAGACAAAATAGAATATTTTAACAGTTTTCAGATTGAAATACGTTTAATGCACTACCAGGCAATTTAATATGTCAGTCACCTCAATGTACAGGGTTCGTACAAACATTTGAATGCAAAATTAAAGACTTTTTCCAATTCCAATTCCAATCTCCCCAATTACAATTTCTTTTCCCACACTCAAGGTTATCAAATAAGCAAGAGACAGAAACCTCAACAAACGCAGGAATTAAGGTTTTCCCAGGATGGCTTGTAAACGTAACAGAAGAGGAATGCCGACATAAGAGAGTTCTGAATCTTGTGATTTTGTAACTGAATGTTAAGCAATTAGAAAAGTGTGGCCGTTTTGAAAAAGAACACAAAAAATCCAAACTATTTACCATTTTTTCTAAAACTTGTCTTTATTTTCCAGACTTTTTCCAGGTCTGGAATACTGGTTTGCAAATTTGAATACTTTTAAAGAATTCAAGATATGAACCCCCGATGTAAGCAGTTGAAAAGTGGTTAACACGTCCATCATTATACTATACATTTAAAAACTTACTGTACTCTTATTTGTTCTTAAAAGATTATTACTTGGCGATAAGCAATTTGCACAATGATGTCATTTCATTATTAAGACCAGGATCCTTCAGGGTTTTGCTTTTTTGTGCAATTTAGGACTTCTGTTACTTGAACCCTAGTGGGATTACCAAATTCAAATATGACAAGAAAAACGAAAAGGATTCTCGTCATAGTAGTGAGATGATGCCATCGTGCAAATGGCTTACTTTTAACATACTTACCTGGAGGTTGTTCTATTTTGACAGCAGATACAGCCCCTCTCTTAGCTCTTTTAGCAGCTGGCCCACTAGGCTCTGCCTTCTTTTTAGGTCCTAACATCACTTCATACTCCTACCAAAAACAACATCAACATCAACTGTTCTCCAGTCATTTTTTATAACATAACTAAGAAGAGTACATGTTTGTTGACAAGCAAAGATGTTTTCTCTTTAAAGATCATTTTCTTTACTCTTGTTCTATTAAGTTCGATTTAAACGATACGATTTTTGCTTACGACTATCGGGCACGACTAGCATGCATCATGACTTTACGACAGATTGTGTCGTATAAATTAGACCCACAACATTCGTACGATACATTGTGGATGTCATAAGTGAAAATTGTGCACGTGTGGATGGTCAAAAGTCGTAACATATGCTAGTTGCGCACGATAGTTATAAGCAAAAATTGTACTGTCCAAATCAGCCTTTACCCTTGACTGAGGAGTGATAATTGTATGGAGAATTAACATGCACATCAATATTAAGAAGGTAAGTTAAGTGTTCCCTAAGAAAGATCATACTTCTCAAAAGGACATATGTATTTACGGAGCTTAAAACTCTAAACCTATGAAATAAGGGTGACAAGCATTTGAGCTTTGTGCAAAAGACTAAGCTTCTCTAATCACTGAAGGAGAAAAGTAAGTCACAAGGAGCTCCAGGGGAGGCTTCATTGCTGCTTCAGGTAAGCAAATGATGCATGACTTAGTTTAAGGGCGATATACAGTGGGTCCTGCTTGTTGGCACCTGTTCCAAAGCTCATATATTAGAATAGGCCATTTATTACATAATATTCTTTCATTATCATTTACCAAAAACTGCAGATAAAAGAAACTGGAAGTCTACAGGATGCATTTTTCCATAAAGAATTACACTTCCACAACTCATCCCACAAACACTGAATTTTTAAACTTTGTTAATAATTTGTATTCTTTAGTTACCTCAGGAGGCATGGTAGCAAGTTTCTGATTAAACACCTTCTCCATTGCCTGGCACATGAGAACAACATCCTGTGATAAAAGATATTGCCCTTTTTAGAACTCAATAATCAACTCAGGTGGGTCTCAACAAAATAACCAAGAGAACCCTTTCTCTTTTAAACCAAAGATCTCTCTGGATCAGTAGATGCACTCTGATGCTTTCTCATTCACATACTGCACAAATTATCACCTAATTCGTGATCATTTTAGGCACCATGGCAACTAAAATGACAACACAGGAAGCCAAATTTAAAAACACAAAGATTGGGTTCGACAAAGGACTAGCATTTAACTTTTTATGGTGGTAAGATGATTTTACCAGCTCAGTTGATCAACACTTTCACTACAGGCAGGTACAAAAGTCAGACTGGATCAACTCGGACCGCCAGTCCGGGTCAGATCAACTCGGATCGAATGAAAAAAACAAAAATAAAATAAAATTGGACTCAGATGAACGAAAAATAAACAAATTAAATTAGCAAAACCGAAAATTTAACCCATTTGGAGGGTAAAAAAGGCCAGATAATCCTTTTTTTCTCCGTGGCTTTCAGCCGCCATTTTGTTTTACTAGTGCCAGTTCCTCTCAGATCATGTTACGAACTCGTGGTTGCGTTACACAATGCGTGCGTTCTGTTTCAAGGACACAGATATGGATGTCCTCGAGGAAGGTAAAATCTCGACCATTTATTCATTCCAAAGAAAATGATAGTTTCAGTCGCCTAGAATGTATATATTTGCTTATTTTTTAGTGTACTGAATTATTTATGAGAAAGGCATCAAAAGCCTGGTCTGTTGATCGCATTTTGATAGTTACCGAAGAGTGTTGGTTTGTTTGTTCCTGTTTGTTTTTTTCTGGAGGACTTCTGAAACTTAATTTTAATGATACACTACTGAGCAGCACACATACACTTCCAGCGGAGATTTTCAACTTGAAAGAAGGAGAAACCATGCTCACCCGGGACAACGAAAATTTTAGTAACTCAGGCGAGAATCGAACTTGAGACCCTCCGGTTCAGTGTTTAGAACGTCCGATCTTTATAGTATTCAGAGGGTCGAGAGTTCGATTCTCGCCGGGGGTACTAAAATTTCCGTTGTCCCGGGTGAGCATGGTTTCTCCATCTTTCAAGTTGAAAATGTTCACTGGAAGTGTATGTGTGCTGCTCGCTAGAGTATCATTAAAATTAATAGAAATAAAAATAAAATTAATTTACGCAACTACGAGTTCATGAGAAAAAAAACAAAATGGCGGGTGAAAGGTAAGTGACGGCGACTGATTTTATTTTTCTTTTTATGATCTGAGTTGATTTTTTGATGATCCAAGTTGATCCGAGTCCAATGTTATTTTATTTTTATTTTTTGTTCGATCCGAGTTGATTCGAGTTGATCCGACCCAGACTGGCGGTCCGAGTTGATCCAGTCCGACTTTTTTACCTGCCTCTTTCACTACCCCATGGACACAGCAGAATATCTGGAAACAAGCAAATTTGAAAACAAGCACACACATGGTGTTTACCACTTAAGTACATCTACGTGGAGTTACTAGAAACATAAGCCAGGATCTCAGTAATCTTCACACCAGTTTTTACTATTAGTTGTTTTTTTATGCATATAATGAGTGGAACACACATAGGCCACTGTAAAAAAATATCATGATATTCTTAAATTGCTGTTGGGTATAACTTCATGTAACCTAATGTTCACAATACATTTTGTGCTTTGCACAAACTGCATGTGAAATGACCTAAAGGCAAATGGTAATCTATAACACATAATTATTACGACCGTTTTCTGTTCCAAAGACACAATAGAATTCAGAGTCCGTTTAGGAGGCTTGCACTAGCCGTTGGTTTATCTCTGATATAAGAGTCCTTCTAACTTACAGGGTTCTCAATAGGATTTGAAGTAGGCTTCTGGCCAACCTTAAGAAGGTGGCTGTGACAAAGGGAGGGGTCTGAGGCATGTTCACAAAGAAAATTTGGAAACATGGAATAACTACACACCACATTTTGTCAAAGTGTTTGAAAAACTTTTATCAGGGGCAAAAACTTTCCACTTGAGGTCTACGTAATGGAAAACAGTGTAATTTTGTATACTGTAATTCTCATGCTTAGAAAAATAAATTATTATTCCTTTTACAAATTCAATAATGTATTCTTTGCGATGCCATGTGTCTCTTTAGTAACTGACCAAAGTAAAACTTGAACATTGGCGCACTGCAACAGCATGTAATGATATGAGAGTGAAGTTAGTTACAGTCTGAGTGGAAGTCAGAATCACATTAACTGTCTTCCTGGCATTTCGATAGTCCCAATGCCGATAAAATATCAATACTTGTGTCCACAGCATCAGCGAACAAATCAGGACAAATAGAATCTGAATGCTCCATAGTGTTCTTATAAGCATCTGTCTGACAAGCTGAATCAACATACTGAAAATTGAACTGCCAAAGCTGTTGATCCAGTTTCCTTCGAAACTTTAGCAGGGAGTTTCCTTCTTCTTCCAGAGAGTAACAGCTGATACAAATGATTTGTTACATTCAGGAGAATCAAGCATGGGACCATTGATTGTAATGGCAGTCCTGTGTTGGACTATTGATGTAGGGCTAATGAAGGGCTGGGCCAAAGTGAATGTCATATATCCAGATGTTTACGTGGCTGAAAAAATGGCGGTTGTCAAGTAGCGAAGCAAAAGCAAATTTACTTCTTTGTTCTCAAATGTTTTGCTTTTTTTGTATAATATACATGTATGAGAAGGACAACTCAAAATCAGATGAAAGAGATAGGTAGAAGACTTGACATCAAACAAAGAAGAGGAAAGCAGCAAATAAAATGCAAAGTAAGCGGCTACAAATTCCAAAGTAGGTGGTAATCAATCGCCGGGTGCCGGCTTCTATCGAGAACCCTAAACGCACTTCTCTGGTTGACAAACTCCTGGACATATTAAAAAAAGACAAAGGTACTAAACTACACTTCACCCAAAATGAATGTAGCACAACTGAGTTTGCAAATTTTTGACAAACTGACATAAATTGTGTGCTAAAGATAATGCAAAAGTAAGGTTCACATAAAGCATTACCCAAACAGCTATTTAAGAAAGTTAATGGTATGTTGTGAAATGGCCTATTGGTAGTGGGTTGTCAAGTTGTTGCTTTCCATAACAGGAGTTTTCTGATGATGAACAATTCCTTAGAACTTCCTTAAAATGTTCAGTTAATTATTCAAAAAGGGAAAAGAGACTTCAATACTTTTGATATAACTGAGACAGCATCTCAAAATATGAACTAGCTAATGTAAAGAGTGTTGTTACATTGGACACTCATGACTACAATTTCTTGCTTCGCAACAAATTGTATAAGCTGAAAGTTGCATGCAAGTGTCATCAGCCTTTGTTACAAAAGAGACATATGCCAGTACATATTTTAAAGAACAAACTTGGCAAATCAAACAAACTCAATATCAACTTAAACACACTGGTTAACAATTCAAAGGAAAACTAAAATACTCTCTCCCAGCAGGACATTACTATAATGAGACCATATCAATAAAACTGAGGCATTATTCATTTATATATTCTGTTGTCTCTGCAATAAGACTCCTCTTTACACCCCACCCCTGTAATGAACTGAAAACAACTGGATCATTATACATTCCTGGGAAACTGCCCACCTATCTCATTCTACCCTAGCAACAGCAGTTATGTCAGTTTTACCATCCATACAGCATAGCAATTTGTTTTCAAATGAAAATATTTACTAGTTTATGAGGATGCAAAGCTGCTGCCTAAGAAATTTTTTTGGGAGCCCCTTGGGCCCCTAAAATCGAAAGTTAGGAGCCCAAGCCACATTTCTAGGATCCCATTGACCGGTAAACTTAAATGAGTAAAAGATGCTAGAAACTTGATTCACACATCTTGAAACTCTATTCGCTTGAGTTTCCAATTTAACGAAAAGTGCTTGTTTGTGTACTTTTATCAGCAGAAATTTTTTGCCTACAGTCGACAACCAGTGTATTACGTTTTCATCTCAAAAGCACAAAATAAGCAGGGAATTCCATTGTTTGTTTATTGGAAGTAGGCATAGAGGCTATTGCCACCAGAATCATAAGTTTTAGGTGCCCGTGCGGGATGATTGTTCAGCTGGTATCGATAGTGAACTTTAAATGAGGCCCTCTTAGGGGGGGGAGGGTACACATGTCTCTAGTCTGAATTTTTAAATATGGTCGATTTGCAATTTGAGGAGTAGGCCATGTTCCTGTCGATATTCATCCCATTTTTATGTCGCTTGTCGACATTTCACTTTATCTAGCTGTTTCAATAACGTGTTGCTTGTCGGAATTTTACACCAACAGGGCCTCTAGGATGTGACAATGAGATTGAATCCAAAATAACGACTTTGCAATTATGAGCAAGTCATGCCACAGGCAGCTTGCTCCTTCCTGTTGATAGCTGGCACATAAAAAGACATCAAGGGAAAGGTTGTCACCATAACAACCATCTAAAGAATACTTATACCTGTACTTAATCTCCTACTCCTAGCTCAAGTTCCCTAATGATATGACAATTTATTGCCTCAAAAAGTCTTGCTTCATCTAACCACCGGAAATATTCAATATCTTCTCTAAAATGTCCCACTTTGAGAAGCAATATTGACAGTTTTTTGCCATGTTTACAGCTTGGTGTGAAGGCAAACAAAGAGGAGTCTTACTAAAACGGATCGACATGGAGCAAGAATTTTTTTGTAAAAGATAATCCTGTTATTTCACTCAAACCACGCTCAAGAAGATAAGCAATATACAACGGATAACCATGTTTAAGCTTACTTGTCTGTAAAAAAAGGCATTGCAGTGGAGAGGAGCTGAAGTATCTTAGTATATTATAAACTGTATTTCATACTGTGGTGAGTGTAAGCAAGCACACAAGACAATGCTGTCAAACTCGAGCAACATCTACATATGCAAGCCAACTCCACTTCCTCTCCACCTCAATGAAGACACGAAAGTAAAAATCTGACAATTTCCCCACAACAGCACGCAAAATATGACGATCAACCTAAAGCTTACCTCTCCAGGCTTGTTGTAGGTCATACAGTTATTAAATATAAGACGAAAATCATCAATGCACTCTTGACTACAAGTGTACTCGTGGTTTTCTAGCTTTTTCTTGATCTTAGACATGTCCATGGGACGTTCTATGATGGTGTAATAATCCTGAAAGACCACAAGATCTCAATCAACAACAATAGTTACTCACAGAGTAAGAGAAGACGTAAAATACTCTGAATTTCAGATCATACTAACCGGCAAATTTAATTTCACGGCGTCCACCGGTTCGTGAAACGGCCAGGCATATGGATGTCGCCACATCGCTTTCATGATCGTTTTCGACAAATACTGCAGTTGGTTGGTCGTGCGAGAAGTTTTAGGCTCTTGCCCGGTAGTCGGTGTTTGGGCCATTCCTCGCTACAAAGGACATATAAAACAGAACAACAGTTCCAGCAGAATTTATTTGACTTTCCTGTGTTAACAAATATTTAAATCTAAGTCATTTATTTAAATTTTAGGACGCTTCTCTCGAGCAAAAGCTAGCGAAGTACTATGAAATGGATTAGAGTAATATTTACCACTGTTTGTTGTTCAAAATCGTCGTACTTGTGGGATAAACGCCTTACTCGCTTCCCGAGCCCCTCAGGGCTAGTCTCTGATTGTAATCCATTCAATGAATCGACAGAGCTACGTTCATAACTGAGACCAGACTGTAAAGCTGCGCTGGGCCTAGAGGTGATGCAATACAACCTCGTCAATTTTGCCCTTTAATTTACCTAACTAGCCTCCAAGATAGCACAGAAAAGTGCAAATTAACTTTAGAGATGGTTTACGCTAGTTAAGGAGAAGTCAGAATGTCTATGTGAATGAGAAAAAAGTCCGCGTCACTTCAACGCCATCTTACGATGCCAACGCCATTTTGGCGGTGCCACGCACAACCATTCACGAACGAAGATCACAATTCACAAGCCCAAGAACCCAATAATAACCGGACCATACCGTTCGATAAGGTTCGTTAGAGGGTTCTGCAAGCTTTGGATTGTCGGATGGCCTTGCGTTTCCATGCACGGCGCAAGATTCTTCGTAAATTCCGCCTTTCTTCAAGGATCCGTCCGGCTCGCTACAGAGCGAAAGCCGCCCTTTTGAATTCTCGAACGACCCCCAGCAAAGAGCTTACCGGACACGTCATAATTTATAGTCACGTGGTGTACTCAGCGCGCCAAAACACTGAGTCATTCAAGTTTTGTTGACAAGCGATTTTTCCTTCCAACTCGGGGCCGGCTATGTGCTAGCGAAGATGCATATTTGAACAATTTTTTCCCTACTCTTTACATCAAGGAAATAAGAGAGACTACCCTTTGATCTGAGCAGTCGGTCCCCTGGAACTGCTCTCTCAATTTTTCGACCGGCGATGTCCGGTGAAATCGTTCACATCCAAGGTTTGACACTTACATCGTTCAAAACACGTTTAAATATGCAGAAGACTGACTAAGAAATTAGCTGAAGTTACCTTAACAAATACTGCTTTGCTACCCCTTGGCCTTCAAATTTTAACAGGTCATTAAGGAAAAGATCTACAATAGACCGGGGGAAAAAATAAACTTGCATCTATGGATCACGCAACAAGAACGGATCTAAATGCTTGTCTGGATGATGAATAACGTATTGAAATTTCCTCATGTCTCTGAGATTCTTTCATTCATCTGTAACAATTGAATGTCCAAGAATTCCAGAGCCTCTGACCGTTCCAATGTTCCAAAATCGATTGTCCAAACCAGGCAGCACTCACGCGTGACAGGATGGGACACAGATGTGACTGACATCTCGTGACAAAATCACGAAAATGATCATGATGTAATTTCGCAGAAAACGGTCATAACATGACAAATCTCAAAATGGACTATCCTGGCCAACGCTTAATCCTCCACTTACGTCTTCAAAACACTGCAATTTCTTTGAGGCATATCCCTTCTTGTATAACAGTGTAAATAATTCATCCATCACACGCCTGCCTTTTGTTGATTGAGTGATGCCAGTGAAAATTTAGTGTTTTATCGCTCCTTCCGTTTACTTCCTCGTGGTTCTTAACTCCCAAACAAATGCTCTAAGTTTTCCATGATGCAGACGTTGAATTTACCCGCTCAATTCATATGCGGTGTTGTTTTTAAGTCATAAAAGCCGGCTTTGCCTTCCTTGCTAATTTGGTTGATTGTCAGTTGCGCGCGCAACTGAATAATGCAAGACTTAGTAATTTATGCAACCGAGAGCCACATGCACGGCTACCAGCCAAAACCCAAAATCAGACATCGGTCAGTAAACTATCAGGTTAATTAAAGGGTTTTTTTCTTTTCATTTTCTTCTCTCTTCCGGTGTGCCATTAGCCTACAGTTTCGACGTTCTTGGCATGCACACTTGAAGTAGAAAAAAATGCCGTATTTTTCGTTTCATTTACTCCTAAGGAAAAAGATGCCATATTCCCAATGGCGAACTTCAGACGGATGCGACTAGAATCACAAAATTGAGGATAGACGACAAATTGCTGTTGCTCGAAATATCTAAAAGTCGCAACTTTTCATCAGCTCATTATTATTATTATAGTAAGTTGTATTTTACTCATAAGAACATGACAGCAGCTCCAATTTGAAAAAAAAAACTCTGTTCTCCGACCTGATCATTTCTCCGGCAGCAATCTCCAGTTTGGACGAGAGTGCAAGCAAGCGAGCCATGCGAAAAAAAAAATCGGAAAAGTAGTGGTGCGCTATAAATTAACGTAAAACTAACCTTTGTAAATGAGGGTTTGGAGTACGGAACTGCAGAATACCCAGGGGCACCCAACGGGAAATTTTGAGAAAAAGACCTTAAAACAACAACAAAGCGTGAATAAAGTTTTCTGAGACTATTTTAAGCATTTTGGGAGATTGCTGGAAAAAAATTATCTGTTCCTCACTCCCAGCAAGACTGATGGAAGAGTTCCCAGCCAGCAACCTTACAACCTGCAACCTGACTTACTGGGAAGTTTCATAGGGCACAATTCAGATCTTGAGTGGTAAGTAACCCATACAAGTAACCCGTAGCAGCTATTCTAGACTTCAAATCCCCTCTGACATCCTGAATTATCTTTTTCCCAGCAACACTTTCCTTCCAAGGACTATTATTTCTTTCACATCTCCCAGCCAGCAAAAATGTGCCTGAAGAACAGATATTTTGAGGAACAGATCCATTGTGTGCCCCTGAATACCCTGCCACTTCGAAGCTGGATTTGTGGATGCGCAGTTATCTCTTTTACATCCTTTTCTACCTTCAGTGGCTTTATGAACGACAAATAGACGTACTATGTGCTCACCAATAGACCTTTTTACCGATACGGCGGCCATATTGAATTAATTCGATTTAAGGAGTATTATAGTATGCCCAGGGGGCATGAGCACATTTCGTTTGTATTTTCGGGCGCTTTTCGGGACATGTTTTCTTTAAGTTTTCTTAGAATAAGATTGTAATGGGGAAAAAGATCCTTGTGCCGTGTTTGGATGTAATAATGATCGTCTTTTTCTAGTTTAGCATTAGAAATATGATCTTTCACTGTATATTTCTCGGGAAAAAGGCGATCATTATTACATCCAACCACGGCACAAGGATCTTTTTTTCCGTTACAATCTTATTCTAAGAAAACTTTACGAAAAAATGTCCCGAAAAGCGCTCGAAAATACAAACGTCAGAAAAATCAATACGCTCCGTCAGAAAAATTCAAAAACACAATGGTCATATCATTATCGACCTATTTAGGTAAGCCCTAACCTGAGATCAGGCGTCTTTTTTTTTTTTTTTTTTTTTTTTTTGCTTCTTTGGCTCGAGAGGGAAAAAAAATAACGCCTGATACATTTATTTAACAAGCAGTCAACCGCCCCCTAATTTACATGATCTACCGTTTGCTTGACCTGTCATGTTTTTAGCCAATAAGCGTTTACCAAACGGGAATCAAATTTTGGCGCGAATAATGTCTCTTTTGAAATCATGATCAGTTTTAGGGGAAAAAAAAAATTTTAAGTACGTCCGTGTTCAGATGGCGCTTCGCAAAAAATAATTTAAAAAAATTAATGTGTTGTTTTTGTGATGAAATACTCTGGAGCTGTCGTACCTTTGTGAATAGCTACAAATAACAAAGAATTTACTGGTTAAAGCTCGTTGACTTCGTTCTGTACTACGAAAGCAGTGGAAAAAAAATTAGGCTGAAGCACCATATTTCACGAACTGAAAGGTGTTGTGAAAGCGAAGATCGCTCAGGATAATTCGCAGCATGATTTCTGAAGGAGGAAATACAGTCAAACCAGGTCAAGATTCCATTCATGAATTGATTATTTGAAAAGTGAACCCGTTTGTCGCTTCTGTAACTTGTTGCCGGTATCAAATTGCATTCAAATGATCGGTGAAGTTTTAACTGCAACTGTTTTGGTATACGATGAGCTGGTCAATATTTCAATGGATGAAACTTCTATTCAGGCATTCTTCAAATTCAAGAAAACTGAGCGGGCAGAAATTTCATTTCTAACGAACTCGCGTGTGTATTCACTGCTTATTACGCAAGCAAAAATGCAGACTGAAATCAACAACAACTAACGGATGGCGTCATTTTGGCCAATCGGAACAGCGCAAATCATCCGCATTGTTTCCTATCCAATCAGAAAAAAGTCCAGATTCTGGCATTTTTACATGTGATCCGACAAAGAAATGTATCATGCCCTCTTCCCGTGAGAGACATAAAGGGATAATAGGGAGAGGGCATGATCTCAGGCTAGGTAAGCCCGGACGAGAAATATTTGGCTCTTGGTCAGGATGCATATATTCCCGTCTAGCCTGCTAGCAAGCATTCAGTGGGCACGATCCATTCAAACAAAATTTCCGGAAATTTCGGTCCAAAACTCAATGGATCGGTTCCGTCGAACCGGAAAAGTTTCGAAAAAACAGGTCTACCTTTTGAGGTGGTCCTCTTTTCCCGGTCGGACCGGTCTGAATTTTGGTTGAATGGATCGCGCCCAGTGAACACTCAAGCTGTCCTATTTGGGCGAACGAATGGAGCCACACCAGGACGCCAGTGGCATACACTAGTTAAAACTGAAATCCACTCTAACTAAAAGGCCGTTTAAAAGCAAGTTTCCGAGAGAGGAATGGTGATTTTCATTTACTCTGATTCAGATTGACAGAGTCAAAAACCATATTCCGCTGAGCGGAGAAAAAGGGTAACGAACCGAAAAACCTCAGTCATACAATAACCTTTTTGTTGCGACATAAAAAAGATCATGGATAGGAAAAGAGTCCCCTTTCAATTAATCTATTCGATATGAATTTCTAAGGTAACATTAAAAATACTGTATGACCGTTAAAAAACATCCTAAACGTAAACTGTTTATTTCGTTTTTGACAAAAACAAACGAAACCCCTAGTCCAAGTCAAACTACACAAAAAACCCTACAACAATAACAAAACCACTACCTTTTGTTACATAACCGAACTTCTTTTTACTGATTAACATCCCTGATCATGAAAGTTCGAGCGATTGCGATATTCGATAAATTTAAAATCGTTTTCTTTTGAGTTTTGGAATTTGTTTGTTACACTATTCTATGATTTTTAATAACAACTCTTATAATATTTGTTTTTAGCAGAAATCAGTAATTGTCTCAAAAATTACATTTTCATGAGAAATTTATGTGTTAATAGATACACTTAAAATAATGCCACAAAAAATCAACCACGGTGTTTCCATTAACACAGACTACTATCTTTCTATGAAGAAATTGAAAAGTACATAACCAAGAGATCATAATAGGCTCTTGACATAACTTAAAAATCGTCTATTAAAATGCATCACAGGGGCGGATCTAGGAGGAGGTGCAGGGGGTGCGCCCCCCACCGCCTGAGATGACCTGCGGTTTTCTAATACAACTGGTATTCTGCGAAAAAAAAACTATGTGATTTATTGGTGTTGAAGTAGAGCAAGAGACGAGTGCACCCCCTCCTAAGAAAAAATCCTGGATCCGCCTCTGCATCACTAAGGCCAAGTAAAAAACAACGACAACAAGAAATACAAACACAAATGTTTCTTATCCCTGCCCCCTTCATTTCTGGGGGCCGACTTTCTTTATCATCGCCAACAGGCGTACTTTCGACGCAGATTATTCTACAATCCCGTGTAACAGGAGTTACTTTTCATAAAACTTACACTCATCTCTTTATTACACTGACGTTTTTAAAGCCGGCCTCCTACCTGTTGGGATATTTATCGTATGACGCATCACGTTGTTTAAAACATGTCCAAAATAAACCAAATTTGTGTGTTAATCATTTATCAATATTTGACCGAAAAACTCCAACTTATCCCTGTTTAGAGTAATGATTTGTAAAGAAAGTATTCAATTGACTGTCGTTCTCTTTATACAAATCCAGACGAGAAACATTTGTTTGTTTGTTTGTTTTTTATTTTTACTTGGCCTACGATGCCTTCTTCAGAACTGCTATAGCCTAAAATTCTATATTAACGCAACAGTTTTTTGAGAACCTTTCCCTATTTTTCCCTAAAAAAACTTAAGCCCCCGTTTTGTCGTGGTACAGTGAAACCCCACCTTACGGCCACCTCGGTAATATATTACGGCCACTTTTTTTGGCCGCCTGGCAAAAACCGCCATGCATTTTCTTGTTAAAAAAACCCTTGTTTATTCGGCCAAATGTTTTTGGCCCATTGGTGATCGTATTAACGGGGTTCCACTGTACAAGAAATAAGCAAACGGATGACCTGTGCAAGGGGATCTCAATGGCAGGGGGGTGTTGGAGAGTTTTACAACTACATTGTATAATTAATCAAAAAATTCTTTTCCTTACATAAGAAAAAGAATGACTTTTTGTTAAAATTAAAAAAATAATAATAATCCGCTGTAAAACAACTTTGAGATCAATTAGGAGCTAGCCAGCTTCTATGCAGACTTTTTTAGAAAAGGAACAAGCAACTCGGCAAGCCTTAACAAGGTCTGCATGCGACGCTACTTGCCACAGGCCCGGCCAGGAGGGAAGTTGGATACCAATAAAGCCGATTTTCATGGCGAAAAGGCGTTGTTAGCTAATACCTTAAATTTGTATTCAAACGCAGAATACTGCCCGTATTCCTGTGATTTAAAATACTTTCTACTTGGGTAAAGCGAAAAGATAACCCAGTAACCAAAACCCCTAGATGGGACTGTACGGCTACAATCCTAGCCTGCAAACGGCAGATGTTTCTCCTCGCTGATCGCCGCTGAGGGACGTTACGCGAGAGGAACGTACGTTCCTCCTCGCGAAACGTCCCTCAGCGGCGATGAGCGAGGAGATCGAAACGTCTGCCGTTCAGAGGCTACTACAATCCGGGATTAGAAACAGGTGTACAACGATCATTAGCCAAAAGACAAGAAAAGTGAAAGTCTTATGAGGCGTCCATGATAAACTGTGTCTAGCAAAAGAAAATTAACTCTTTTTACTTGGACTTTGGATTGCTCACTGGGGCGGTATTTACTGACTTGCGCAAGGCATTTGACTCTGTTGATCACGAAATACTTATTAGCAAACTAGAGTCATATGGATTTAAGGACATTGAGTTAGACTGGTTCCGAAACTACCTAACAGACCGAAAACATCTCGTGAGTTTTGGTAAAGAAATCTCTGATCCATGTCTTATTACATCGGGTGTGCCTCAAGGGTCAATTCAACTCTTTGTCCTGTTTGTAAACGATCTGCCTTTAACTCTAGAGTGATGCCAGATTCTGATGTACGCTGACGATACAGTTATGTATTTCACCGCTAGTAATGCCTAAGAAATCAGTAGTACTCTTACCAGTGAACTTGCCAAGGTTAATGACTGGCTTGTAGACAACAGTCTTTTTATTCACCTAGGCAAAACAGAATGCGTTTTATTTGGTATTGTTTCTAGGTTAGCAACTGCTAATCTCTCTGTGAATATCGATGGCAAGGAGCTAACACGGGTTGCTGAGTATAAATACTTAGGAGTAACTTTGGATGAGTCGCTTTCATGGAACGAGCACGTGAATTATTTAATAAGCAAAGTTAGTAAGAGAATAGGAATTCTTGGCCGCACCAGGCGGAGCATTAGTATGCATAAGGCTGGTATAATTTACAGATCATTTATTCTTCCTGTTCTTGATTATTGTGATACCGTTTGGAACTGTTGCGGACGCACGAATGCTGATAATATAGAAAAATTACACAGACGTGCGGCAAGGATTTTCATGCAAACCAACAACAGTGATGAAGCGCTAGCTCACCTTAAATATGATACGCTGGGGCTTAGACGGGAGATTCACGCGTTCAACCTTGTGAAGAAATGTCTAAATAAGCGCTGCCCGCAATTTTTAATGGACTACTTTTATCTTAATAGAGATATCGTACAGAGAAAAACGCGGCAAAGTAATCATCTCCGTCTTCCCTCCATCAAATTAGAAAGTACGAAAAAAGCTTTTTATTATCATGGATGTAAAGTTTTTAATCGTAATTGGTAGTTTTTATTAATGGTTTGTAATAGTTTTTATCCTTTTTTAAGGATATTTTTCTATTAGCCTAGTTAGGACTAGTTTTAAGTATTTTTAACATATTTTTATATTTCTTCTTTATCTAGGGCCTCTAAGGATATCAGTTTTTCTAACTGTAGGAGTTACCCTAGCTAAATAAAAGTATCTTCTTCTACTTCAAACAACTTAAAAGATTTCTGGCCATTTAATGGTTGACTTCAGTGAGTCTCTCTTGCCAAAGTCACGTGAGATAACCAGCTGTTTGTGCTCTTTTCCTTTGTGCTTTGTATATATTAAACTCTGCTAGCTTTTTCTGAATACAATAATTGTGTCATAATAGTGTTATAACTGTTTATTACCTACTTTTTTAAGTTTTTAGGTACAGAGGATTGTTCCATGAAGATATCAACAACACCCAGAAAATTATTCATGTGCTCAAACTTCATTACAAGAAAATTTTGAGCAAGAAAGGGAGAACGCAGCCTGTACACTCCAAAGAAACTGATTGATCGAATTATTCATGAAAAGTCAAATAAAACTTAATTTAATTTTTCGAAAACAAAACGATACTTACTACAGTGACCAATCATCGTAAGAGGCGACAGTCAAATAAACCAATCAGGCTTAAGTAAATGTGTGTAGCACTCAGTCACCGAATGCAGGGAAACGGGAGCTAGCAAATCACTATCGGCCCTAGTTTTGCTTCTGATTGGCTCAATTTCCGTACGCTTCTGATTGGTTGAGAAAAAGGCACAATATTTTTTCGGCTAATTACAACAAAAAGTGGGGTTTAAAAAAATACAAATAGCGAATTAATAAAAGGAAAAAAAAAAGAGAATGTGGCTTAAAACATCTATTTGGGTGCCCCTGAAAAAAAAAACAAGTTTCTCTGTCTGGGCATCAGTAGGGTTTAGGGACACGCAGGTCCATATATACTACAAAGTAAACTGCATATATTACCTAACAAAGTTTGATTTTCTGCTGACAGTGTCTACTTGTTGTTAGCCACTTAAAAAACTAATGATAGGTCTGCCTTTAGTTCTTAGATTATCTTAGAAAATTCTGGAAAAGAAACAGGTTGCTACACGTGTCTCCTTCACCTTCTTTTGATTAGTGATAATCCGTTAGAATGGGTTGCTGAAATAAGAAGGACCAGAAAACATGTTAACGTGTAAAATATGACCCTTTTAGAAAAATAAAAACAAATCTAGAACCCCTCCCCCCCTCGCGAAAAAAAAACAGAGTGTTTCCAGTTGAATTCAACTTGATGTAGGCTTTTGCAGCCGGTCATTTAGGGGACAACTTATTAGCCAAATCAATGCACAGTTTTTAACATTCTGACATCCTTTCCATTGGTCAATAAGAGTACAGGCTAAGGAAAATTGTAGTCGATTTGTTTTTTACAATAACATGGACAGTTCTGACATCCATTCCTATTGAAATTTCATGGAACACAGCGCACGCAAGAAAGAGAATATTGCTTGTGCACCATCATATCGTTTCCATGGTCTGTTTTTGACTCTTTTCAAACATAACTGTCCCCCAATCAGCGCACGAGAAATAGCTCAGTTATTGTAAAAATGGTAGTATAAATAATTAAACCTTAATAATATCATTAATATTTACATAACCTGCATTACTCCAGGTGTTAGTCATGTATAAGGATAGTCGCAGGCAAAGTGTTGGGTAAGGGCATGGAGACTGACAAGATGAGGGGAAAAACAACAAAATCTTTCCCTCTCTCTTTGCTCTCTCCTATAATATAACTTTATGCAAGGTTAATAAAATAAGAACACAGGTAGCCAGGCTAATATTATTTTATGTTTCATTTGAGATCTATCACAGCTAGTTATGTACAACTTAGTAAAAGTGGTGACTACCTTATTACTCGAAATTTTGGCGACACTTTAATTGAGCAAGAAAATCGCTAAATTAAAAATCAGTGATTTTGATACTTCTGCCTCCTGCATCCGTTATGCATAAAAATCCCCAAAGATGCAAAAAAATTCATGGGATGTGTCCCATAGTACGCAAAGATCGATTGATCAATCTGAACATGCGTGTTTGTAGAAACGTCCCATTCGTGTAAATTCTGTGCCAGTTATTATGGCTGTTGTTTAATGATGCATATTGCTTTTAGCCCTTGTTGTGCTTTAAAATAGAAGGACTATATTTTAATTTCAGTATACTGTAATACATAATTAATTAAAATATAGTCCTTACAGTTTTGGAGTCTGTGTTCAGATCAACTGTCTGGTTACATAAACACCCAAGCATTTTCAATTTCAGACTTTTTTTTACTGGCACTCATTGGTTCAGTGCACTGGGACTCATGATTTTTCACAAGATGAGTCCAGGACACACTATAACTATTTGTAATAAAATTACTGCAGCACCAAAATTAAGTGTCACTAAATTAAAGTGAGTACGATATGAAATTCTGCCATCTGGTCAGTTTCACACCCATATGCTATTTGTTGGTCGATTATGATATGTACCATTGACTTTGTGTGACAATGTACCTTAAACATGAGTGACAGCACCAGGATATGACAGTTGCAGTGTGTCGTTTATTTAGTTCAAAATTAAGCTTCAGAATGTTCTATGGTTTTGATTTAAATGAAGCTATTGATGTTTATGATTATTTTTGTCACATGCATGAATGTTCTGTTGTCATCATAAAAGTTTTGATTAACTTAATTCGCCAAAGTTTCAGTGCGTGAAATTGCAAAAATGAAGTGACTTATGTTCCAAAATTCACGAAAAATCGCTAAATTAAAGAGCCGCTAAATAAGGATTTTTAAAAATTGCCAAAATTTCATGTAATAAGGTAGTGTCCGATAGCCTGGGGCTAGTGGATTTTGCTATTGGGCTAGTGAATTGTTTTTAACTTGCCCGACAGGCAAGTGATGTTTTTTGAGGAATTCAAATAATAGAAGAACTGTGAAATCAATTCTGCTCATCAAAAAGCTTTTGGGGCTAGTTGAAATGACGTCTGGGCTAGTAAATGCTAGCTTCAGCGTGCCCGAATGGTAAGCTGTAAAAATGATTTTCTTTGCACCCTGGTAGTTCATTTTTCCTAAACTGTAAAACGATAAATTAAGGAAATTTCATTACCTTATCACCAGGAAAATTATACATAGGTGTGGCTGAGGAAGGAACATGTCCACCTTGAGCATAAGCTGCAGAGAAAATATAGAATTAGAACATTTCACCCAGATTATGCAGATAAAAACCTGCGACTAAGAGCCTAGTTTTTAAGAACCTTTAAGGCTAAAATTTGCCAGTTAGGCCCCCTCTATACAAGAATCTGTTGAGCCTTAAATTTGAAACAGGTTCTTATTTTCTAAAATCTATAATTCTGCACACTTGGACAAATAAGATAAGTCAACATTAAGGATCCTCTTTGGAGACACAGGTGCCTTATTACCCCCACTGCAATTGAATAAGTATACAGGTTTTAGGAAAGAAATGGGCTGAATACAACTAAATACAATTAGCTACAATGTGTGAGAACCTATTTTGTCTAACTCGGGAAAATGTTGGTTCATAGTGGCAGGTTTTTACTGTCTAAAGGGACAGATCAAAGGAATTTCTCACAGGGGTTCAATGAAAACACTAGCTAATAATTTTTCATGCTTTTTATGAACCATTTACATTATACAATTACCCTCTAGTAAACCTTAACTACTTAGACCCTACACTTAGTGAGTCAACCGTACCTCTAACATACAACAGCGATGTTCACAATTCACAGCATAAAAGATATTGACATCAGAAAATTTTGCTCTGGCTTTAGCAGATTATAAATAATAATTATTATTAATGAACAGCAGCTGCTGAGCCATGTCAGAATTAACAAGACCTCTGTATAGTGAGGGTTCATTGGGCTGCCAACTGCATGATGCAGTGGTTTATTATTTTGGGAAGTATAGATTATAATAACACTTTTTACCGGTTTGAGTGTATAGCTACTCCTAGCCCGTGGAATGGGATAGAGATAGCATTTTGAAGCAAGAAACGATTGGCATTATTTTTAACTGGGACATCTCTACAATTGCAACTCCCCCTTTCCCCCATCCCTCTGCCACCAAATATAGCATGACAGTACTAACGTGACTAGTCTGATCTAACTGAAAATTCCAGAAATTATTGTCAAAATGCGAAAGGGTCAATTTTGGTGTTTTAAAAACTTTTAAACAGTAGTTTTCTGTTTATTAAAACTCGCAAAGCAAATTATTTACGTCAGAAATTGCATAAAGCCCTACTAACTATCCAAGTAAATATGTTTCTATTTGACGGGGCAATCTGCAAGTCGATTGTGATGATGTGGATTCCAACAGTGATAGTGACTCAGCCTTTGGATCTGATGAAGACAATCTCTAGAGAGCAGCTCTCGAGCCTGACTCTAGAGATATGGGATTCGTACACTCTTTCTGATTGGAGTCCGTTTTGGAATCAACTAAAAAAAACTACTGCCAGCTGACAATTATAATTGCCAAATCAGTCAATTATTTCTTTTTTTGTGAGCTTTTTTTAACACCTTAAAAGACCTTCCAGGTTACCCAATTCCGGTCCAGGGAACGCAGGAAATTGCATTTTAGAGAGTCCAATTTTACAAATTTCCCAGGGGACAAGCCCCTGGACCCTCCTAGGAGTTCGTGCCTCCGGCCGCCAGCTGAACCACTGCATCCGGTACTTCCAAATGCTACCGAAAACCCTGATCATCGAATACTATATTTAGACAATCATTTGGCCTAGATATAGGGCCAATAACTCCACGCAATAATTGTGTTTGTTCCAAATTGACTTATACATCTGTTCGCCAGATGACCTGAAATGACCTACCCCCTCCCCGCAAAAATTGGAATGGGACATGCAAAGCCCTCTGGGAGTTCTAACCACCATTTTGTCTTTTTGCTGCACAGACAGGGCGGCCTCCATTTTTCTATTAGGCATTGCCCTCATGGGCAGCCCAATAATGATCGATTGTGTGGTTTGTCTAGTTAATGGATCTCTTATTGAATATGCTGTTTCACAGCGCCCATTGAGATGAAGAGAGGGAAACATCAGGCCAGCCCACCAGCAACAAAATAATGTTATTATTACAACTACTAGCTAGTTAGGAAAAGCATTCTAACTTATTATGACACATAATGACAAGCATTCTCAACCAACCTGGGAGGTTTATTTAGTGCTTGAAAATGCCATCACTTTGTTTTCTTAGACAAGGAAAATGAACAATGAAAGGAAAGTGCATAAAGACATCATTACCATCCAAAGTTAAGTATCATGGACATCTAGTACCTTGTCCAGGGGATGACAGCAGCCTAAAAGCTTCATTGTGAAGAACCATAGTAAATCAGCTGATTCTTTTGATTTGGTCTGCTTTTTTTATCATTACCTTGTCTGTGATCACTGTCCTTTCCAGTCTTGCAAAACTGCACAATCATGCCAGCGATGAACATGATTGGAATCAATGAAAACACCACCCAAGTGTACCAACAGTGTGGCAAATCAGACTTGTCGTGATGACCTACGTGCATAAGATCCATTAAAAAGCCCAGTTTAATTTTGTGAAATCTGAATGTGAAGAGGCTTTTATTACATCATCATGGTGATGAGATAATAACTTGTAAATGTGGCAAATGAGTTCCAGATAATATTTAAGTAAAATTTTAGGAACAAGCCATTCAATCTAAAAGAGATGCCTCCTGATGAGTCATGAGCAGCTTCAGCTACATTTCAGCAGTAATGGCAGGTTTTAATCAAATGTACAAAATTAAGAAACTTTGCAATATTTCACATAAGCTCTGCTTTTAGGCTTTGGCTTAATATTATATGTTTGCCTTAAAGTTGCCAGCTCACCAACAATCTATTTAACAAAAAAAATTAAAAGTAAAGCTCGTGCTTCAATCAGCCAATTTGCTCTAATTACCTTTTTGCCTTTGGAATGGACAAAATAATGCTGACAAAAACTAGCTAGCACATGGCTGATGCTCAAAGCAGACTGTGTCAATATTATTCCTATGAGGCTGTATGTATTTTGTTTTTACCTTTATAGTTTGCAAAGGTTTACAAAGTTGTTTTTGTTAATAATGAAAGGTCTGGGAAACTAAAAACCACTTTTTCTGCTAAAAAACATTTTTGAATGCAAAGACTTTGTATATAATGATTTGCACGTGACAAGTCTATCACGGATGACAACTCTCACATCATTAATGTTCAGTTTCTTGTCTAATTAGACTCTCACCATGCAAGATGTTCACAGTGTAATAAAGGGCTTTGCAGTTCTCCACGAAGTAATCAACACCATTGACAAACATGAATGCTCCCATAAATGAAGTAGAGATGATTATTACAGCCTGTAAATAGATCAAAAATGGGATTTGGGCATCTGCAGCTAACAGCTGTGAAATGCAGTAAATTGTAAATAATTCCCCTAGGGACTTATCATAGATAATTATTGACCACAAATGCTGTTCAGGTGACCTTTGTGACGCTGCCCGTGGTGGAGTTTCCAATCCATAAAATAATACGTATATATAATTTTGGCATTCTTTGGCCTGCTAAACAAATGATAATGTTTTTTTTTTTTAATTTTTGTTGTTCTTATTATTGTTGACTATGTTTAAAGGTTACAAAATGCAAAAGGCATACCTTCTGAATGCAGAGAATAAGGATTCGTCCCACAATGGCAAATGCACTGAGAACAATGTAGGGTAGCCAACTGTGTTCAGACAAGTACACTGAATGCTTGTAAAGGAGGGTCAGAAGAGCCATGCCAACAAACCATCCCATGCTTGCTCCTATAAACATAATATAAGCAACGAAATGCGCAGTTAGTACAACTCCTATGAAAGCGATGCTTGGTATTTACAGTTTATTTGAATTAACATTCTCCAAAAAAATTAAAGGTTCAAATATTAATGGCAGGATTCTTTCATTCAAATAGGAATCAATCTCAAAGACAATACTTTGAAAGGACAAAATATTTATCCTTTTGTATAATATGGTTAGTTTATTTTGTTTGTCTCACCAGAAGTCAATTGTTATTGTGATGCTACCAGGCTTGAAATTATTTCCCAGCTGTCGCGATTGAAATTTAAGTCTCATGAAATTGCAGGTACTTGCATTAGTTACATCTACTAATGCTGACCATGAGGTATCTACAATAATATTTTTCATAATTACCAAGAAGAAAAAGCCCAACATAAAAAGAGCACAGTGCTAGCAGGCCAGCAATTACACCAACTCCGACAGAGATGCAAAGAAATATCTGAAAAAAAATTTTAATGCGTACGAAAAGAATTCAAATTGTCAAGACATTCACTGTAAATGTGATGATACTGCAGGTAAACCATACAGGAATAAATTAAGCCTGTTCACAGGGCTTCTGTCATGCACATTATGAATTAAAAAAAAAAACAGGGAATTTGTTCACCGCTACAACCAGAAGCAAAACTGTTGAAAAACTCTGAAGAAAAAACTACCTTTCTTGCTTCAAATCGCTGCTAGTCACAGGTCTGTGAGACATAATACTGACCTCCCTCCTCCTTTCCATTCAAAGTTGTTCCTCCAAGTTTTGAGCATGGTCTTGTATTGCTAGCAACTGTGATAAGAGGTGGAGGGGGGACATGGACAGGCCAAAATGCCAAAAATACAATAAAGTGTCTCAGTTCTTTCGCAACCGGTTGTAGCGCAAGGTGGTGGGGATAGGTACATGAGAAAAAAATTGCGTGTGCACTTCTGTTTTAGCAATTTACCATTCTGGCACAAATCATGTAGTTTGCAGAGTTTGTCATAGGGTGCAAAGAAAGTCAGTTTTACTGCTTGCCTTTCGGGCAACTGTAGCTAGCATGTACTAGCCCAAAACTAGCAAGTTCAACTAGCCCCAAAAATGTTTTGATGTGCAGGATTCATTACATAATACTTTTGCTGTAATTTGAATTCGTTAAAACTTCATTTAATTTTTAACTTGCCTGTTGGGCAAGTTTATAACAGGATTGACTAGCCCCATAGCAAAATCCACCAGCCCCGGGCTATTGGAAACTAGTTGACAACTCTTTGGTGAAATTTTCAAGAGGCTACTTATGTTTTCAAACAAGAGCAGCAGCAGGTTGTCTTGAGCTTCTTTCAGGCAGAAATCTGGTCACTAACTTACATTTGGCTACACCTAGGCAATAACGTGTCTTTTGCTATTCAGGATAGGGATGATTGTCTAGAATTACTATAAGACATGCAGTCACATGTTCTACAATAATCATGCAGATGTGTTGATTTGCTCCAGCTTTAGGCCTTTTTTCACTGGCTTTTCAGGGTTGAAGCAGTCTGTGTATAGACATACTTTGACAAAGACGCAATGTCTACAATCATTCTATTGAATTTCGGATCTTTTACTATTAATACATGAGGGATGTAAAGTGATACTTAAGCCTGACTGAACAAGCAATTAAAATCTTCGATGTCATTGGGTTAAATTAATTGGTATAGTGGATATGGAGATGGTAATGATATGGATTTGACAGGGGGAGCGACTTAAAAACCTATTTATTCCCAAATATGTTCCCAGATGATTCTTTCTTCCTTTTAGTTCTCTAGCACTTCAAATTTGTTCTGAGGCTCTGCACACACTCTGGTGCCTTCACTCTACCTCATGCATGCACTAAATTACTGGTACTCAAATGTGGACAGGCTAATAATACAGGACATTTTAAGAAAATCCCTCACTTATCACTGATACAGAAAAGAACTTAATTTGCCCACTGTTTTTGCATGTTGGAAGGTCTTACGTACCAGTCTATTCCAAAGCCGCCCATCCCCCTTTGTGCAATAGCCTAATCATTTGACTGGAGTTTTGCTCCATACAGTGAGGAATTTGACCCAAAATGACGCCCGCCCAGTTGGCCACTTGATTTTGTGTCAAAACGTGTCAGCGTTGCAGGCAAAAGGATTTTTTAAAATTCTTTCCACACTCAGCATGTGTACCGTGTTCACGGGCCATTGCTCTTATATTCGCTGTTTTGTTGGAGCATTTGACAGCCTTTGAAAAAGCCCACGCTTTCTGGAATGAACAATTTTATTGGAATGAACAAACCTCTCTAAGACAGCTTTTCAAGACTTACGGTATTTCGGTTGTGTTTATTGGGACACTTACACTTCAATAAATGGTTTTGACGAATGGGAAATTTGTTGAATAGTCGCTGCTGGATGGGGGATTTGACGCTTCTTGAAGCACTAGCTGATGGGGTATTGGACCATCTAAACTGCCAACATACCAAGGAATTTGATCTAAATTTTGAAAGAAGTCAAATGCCTGGGGGTTTGCCTGAAAGGGGTGAGGGGTGGGGGGCGCATGGGCGGTTTTGGAATTGACCTCAAGTGTAAAATTTCTTTAATATTTTTAAGTATTTTACCTGATCCTTATACTCAAGAACTGTTCCAGACAGCTCATCAGATAAATGTTCAGTACACATTATATAGCTGAAGAAAAATGCGATCAGGAAACCAGCAAGGAAAAGCACAAATTTGAACAATCGGTACCCTGAAAAAATACAAGTAAATATTAAACTATATCAAGTACCAGTAAATACTTCTCAGGCCATCGTCTTTTTTTTCTCTGTTTAGCGTCGTCCGACCGACCCAAATTTTTGGCAATTTAAAAAAAACAACAAAGTAACGACATAGTTGAATCATTTTTCACTTGAAATAATTCTTTTAATCTGAAAAATGAGCATAGTAACAGCATAGAGAAAAACAGGAACAAAAGCAGGAACATTTTTTACAGTATAATGTATATTTTGTTCGCTGTAGCCTGAGAACATGCCCTCTCCCTATTATCCCTTTATGTCTCTCACGGGAAGAGGGCATGATACATTTCTTTGTCGGATCACATGTAAAAAAGCCAGAATCTGGACTTTTTTCTGATTGGACAGGAAACAATACGGGTGATTTGCGCTGTTCCAATTGGCCAGAATGCCGCCATCCGTTAGTTGTTGTTGATTTCAGTCTGCATTTTTGCTTGCGTAATGAGCAGTGAATACACTAGACTGCAAAACAGTCCGTATTTTTGCGTATTCAAGTACGCGCGAGCAGTCAAACAAAAGGTCTGGAACGAGGCTGAAAACAGAGAGCGAGACTGGGGAGAGACGCTAAAAATATGAATAATAATAGTTATTATTCGCGCCAAAATTTGATTCCTGTATGGTGAACGCTTATTGGCTATTATTATTCATTCAAAATATTTCTCCGATTCTGATTGGCTAAAAGCACACGTTTAATTCACCATAACCAGTTACTGATGACCAAATTTGGAAGAAATTTGACTTTAACGAGGAAATGACGTCAAAAATGCAGCGTTTTCGCAGGTTAACGCACCGTTAACCGAGAAGACCTGGGGATGAGGTTGAGTTGTTTTGGTTGTGAACTTGAAAAATGGCGGACATTTCACTCGTTCAAGAGTAAGAACTAGGCAAAAAAAATTACTAAAAACATGGCAAGAACAGCAAGAAGACAACTCGAAGGCCGACATCTGCTATTTGGAGAATATTTGCGGAGCTGTACAAACATAAACGTGCACTATCGAAGAAGCATGTTTTATCCTTGTTTTTAAACTAGGAATTATTTTGACTGAATAATAAAACAATTATTGAATTCGGCTTTCGTATCATATGAAGAATTATGGAGATCTCGGAGGGTGTTATCCGCCTCAGCCTACGGCCTCGACGGAGAACACCCACCTCGATCTCCATAATTCTTCGTAAGATACTCAGGCTTATTCATTGATAATTGTTAAATAACATGACAGGTCATGCAGACGTTAGATTATGTAAATTAGGGGGCGGTTGACGGCTTGGTAAATGAATGTATAAGGCGTTATTTTTTTCCCTCTAAAGCCAAAGAAGCGAAGAAGCAAAAAATAATAATAATAATAATAATAATAATAACGCCTGATCTCAGGTTATGTTCGCTGTGGCTATATGGCCGGTATAACCGGTCAAGATTTTCAAAACACTAAATGACCAAATGACCGACAGTCTGGTATTTTCAATAAATTTGGCTTATCTATCCAAACTATCATGTGTCTTAAGAAAAGTCAAGCGATCCTGAAATGCTTTATACTTCTCAAGTCTAGCGTTTGGTTTATGCTGGGCTCAGAAAACGAAACCATGTTTTGTCACACTTAAAACGTTTTTCAGGTCGACTGCCGGTCAAGGTTTTTAAAACACTAATTATAACATAGCTAGAAAATTCGCCTAATCAAATTCAATAGCGCGAGCGTGCTTCATATTCCTATTGAGCACGCTGATGACGTCAATAAACTTTTCGTAATTCCTCGAGTTGTTGTGAGCCTAGCAATCCTGAGTCTCCTGAGTGCATCCATAACTCAGCAATAGACAATGAAGCGTTTACCATGTGTTTTATAAGGAAATTTAAGAGGAAACCTTTGAATTTGTTAACCGATAGTAAGGAAGAGAGGTGAGTGTTGTTGTTGTTGTTGTGATCTCCGCGAGCTGTGAGGGCTATGGCGTGAGATCATTCTTTGCAAAGTTGTTTTCTCTCAATAACAATTTTTCGGTAAATTAATAGTTTTCCGGCACCTAAATATGGATTTTATAATCATTTTAGAGCACACTTTCTCTCAGTTTCAGGATAAAAACACAAGATTAACTGTGAGGAAAAAAAATATATAGTGACGTAAACATTGACGCGTACTGCTTGAGCGCGCCCTACAATAATAAACTTTTAAGTTATATAACTGCTGCATTGATCGCTTTGATAATAATGTTATAAAACAATTAGTTCATGCTGCAGCTGTGCGTATGTCGAGATATTGAGCACTTGGAAAGTTTGGAGAGCACTCCAGAGGCTAGAGTTGCACTCGGCTGCGCCTCGTGCAACTCTTACGCCTCTTTCGTGCTCTCCAAACTTCCCGCGTGCTCAATATCTCGACATACGCACGCTGACGCATGAACTAATTGTTAAATGACCGGCAGTCCTATATTCTCAATAAATTTGACAAATCGAAAAAATCCATCTAATCTAAACTATTATATGTCAATTAAGAAACGTCAAGCAATCCTGCTCCTGAAACACTTTATAGATCTCATGTTTAGCGTTTGGTTTACGCTGTGCTCAGAAAACGAAACCATGTTTTGTGACACTTAGAACTTTTATCAGGTCGACTGCCGGTCAAGATTGTCAAAACACTAAATGACCGGCAGTCTACCCTGCTAACACAGTCGCTTCGATCTTTTCTAGTTAAGTCAGGAAAGAAGAAAGAGGAAAGCGGAAAGCGCAGGGGCACCCAACGACAATTTTCGGAAAATATCTGTTCGGAAGACGATTTGATATCTAGAATTTTCGGAACATTTGTTGAAAAATTTCTTGCTTGCCAGCCTCTCCTAGCATTTTCGAACATCTAAATAATGGTATAATTGCCTATTTTTAACGGATTTTTACCCTAAAAAGGTCACCTAGAATTTTCGGGAGCCTTTTTTCTGGCTGGAATTTTCGAAAAGGTAAGTTTTGATCCCTTTAATTTTCGGATCATTAGACTTTCAGCTAGGAAATCCGAACAGATGAAAAATTTTTATGGGATAAAAATATGCCTATATCTACCGTTTAAATACTAAAATACGTTTAACAATGCTATGTTTAAGTGGTGTTGAACTATATTCTCGTTGAGTGCCCCTGAAAGCGGAAAAAGAGGAAGCGGAAAAAAGTTCTATGTGCCACAAAACGTGGTTTCGTTTTCTGAGCACACCGTAAACCAAACGCTAGACTTGAGATCTATAAAGCGTTTCAGGATCGCTCGAATTTTCTTAATCGATATAGATGGATTTTTTCGATTTGTCAAATTTATTGAGAATATAGGACTGCCGGTCATTTAGTGTTTTGAAAACCTTGACCGGCAGTGGACCTGAAACAAAAAATTAACTGTCACAAGACAAGGTTTCGTTTTCTGAGCCGAGCGTAAACCAAACGCTAGACTTAAGATGTATAAAGCATTTCAGGATCGCTTGACTTTTCTTAATCGACATATGATAGTTTAGATTGGTTGGAATTCTTAGATAAGTCAAATTGATTAAAAATACCGGGCTGCCGGTCATTTAGTGTTTTGAAATCCTTGACCGGTTACCGGCCATATAACCCGACAGGGTATTTTGTTAATCCAAAAATGTGAATGTTAAATTTTAACGTCATCCTGGGTTACCGGGGCCTCCTATTCCGAGACTTCTTGTGACCTTTTTTTTTTTCAATCCGACCGACCGACCCAATATCAGGAAACGCATTCGACGCTAAACAAAAAAAAAAGGCGATGGCCACTGGTGAAAGAAAAAACCTAATAAGGTGCATTCTCTTTTGGGAGAATGTGAGAGCTAGATTGTAAGATGGGTGAGACTAAGATTCTCAAGGTTCATTACCGAGGTTTGACTTCTTGAAAGTCAAGAAAATACAGTGAAAATACGACTGCAGCTTACCATAAAAGCATTTTGCTGCTCCAATTAGAATGCAGACTGGAGCTATAATACACCTCTGCGTATCGTACAAATTGTGCAGCTTGCAATCATCAGAGTTAGGCACTAAAGTCGGAAGAGAAGACATCGTTTAGTTGTGTAGTGTAGGGAATTGAGCTCCGACTGACTGTCGAAAAGGATTGAAAGAAAGTCAGGAGCGGCCAATGCTACGGACTATATTTATGAGTGCGTGGGCCGGCTGCAACGCAGCTTTGAACGCAGCTGCGCCGGATGAACATTCCACGGGGACGAGGAACACTGGGTTCCAGCGTCTATCGAAGCCGGTGTCGCCGGTGTCGCCGGTGTCACAGTTCAGGGCGGAAAAACGTTCTGCGCAAGCTTCTGCGCATCCCTTACCGCAGGCTCAAGACGGGCTTTTCTGTGTGCTGACAGTGCTGACTGTGTTTGTTTGTTGCTGGGGTTCTGAGTGAAATGCACGAGGTGCGATCGTTACCTCCTGGTAAAGCATTTTTATTTGACATGTTTGCTTTTTTTTCGTCGCTTGAAAATTACTTTGGATTCAGAACAACCAATGTTAAAGGAAAAACGGATCATTCCGTCAGTCTGAGGTGGAATAAAAGGTTTTGAACATTTCTTAAGAGGCGAGTATTTTTCTGATTGTGCATCCGATTAATTTATGAGTTGATTTCGCCGGGTTGAATTAAAACCCGCTTGTATTCTCAGTGTGTATTCTGTTGAGTTACGGTTACTGTTTTTTACATGCCCAGATTTATTACCTTTGCAGAACCAGCTTTATCTTTGTCTTCAGTCAAAGAACCATATTGCTGTTATATTATCAGAGTGAACAAACTTGTGCACTTATTAAACTTTCTCGGAAATAGAAGGCCAGTAAGCTTACTCAAGATCATTTTTCTCAAAGCTTGCTCAAGTAATAATAGACAGAGTTTTTTTTCATTTTTCATTACATAGTTTTGTTTTCCAGTGCACTGTGAAGG